GTTGCAAGCCTCTCTATGTGTTTTTTCAGTCCCGTAGAGATATAAACTGGATAAACGTACAGTACTTCGACTCTAAATTCCAAGTTATTTGTTGCCTCAGATGAACTATAACTAGTTGGTTGTATATATCATTATTGTTGGTTCAGTAGCTTGGTAGATCTTGATCTCTGTCGTTAAACGGTCTACACCTAAGATGCAGCTTGGTAACTTTACTGGAAAATGCCTAAATTTTGAGCCTACCAGAATCGCTCCGGACTATTTGAATATTTTAACATGTGAGTACTTTTATCCAACTGGCTTCATGTTTAAAATTGTCTACGCGTGCATGAATTTAAAACCCCTGGATAAGTCATCGTTGACTCTCTGAAGAGTTTCTGCGGCACTTCTTACACTGAGAAGTATACGCAAACATTCATATAGTCCTAAGGAAATGATAATAGACGTTGTAGGAATGTCACCTGCGGCCAGTTATGAGTTTTGACCAGATTGATTCCTGAGAAAACTGCTGTACCGCTCAAAGTAGCTGTCAAGTCGTGGACGTGTGGCCAGGGGTGAAAATCATGAGTAGTTTTTATATTCGGTCACCGATAATCATCAATTCAAAGCTAGTCACCTCTGCTTTGTTTTCTAAGGGCCATGTTCAAAGGAGATGGCCATGAGCGGTTTGATGGCCAGATAATTCACATGTCTATCATATGCTAGAATTCGTTTTTAACCAATCTTAACTTTTCAGGAGCTAGTCAGCGACCTTTCGAAAATACAGGTGGTTTTGTAGTCGTAATATAGTGAGTAACATTCTGGTTACACACGATAATTAAAGGTACTCATCGAGTGTCTGATGGAAGTATAGATCTAATGTTAAACTGTGACCGGGAATAATCTGCAACCAGAAAATGAAGTTCCACAAACAGATAATTTAGTATTCCCATCCACCAACCTCCGTTTGCTTGGGTCGATGAGTAGATTACAGTGTTATAACAGGATGATAGACATACGTTTTGACGTATGTGGCAAACCACTTTTATTATCAGAAATGGGTTTTGTGGGTATTATAGTAATTTAGTAGTTAAATTCATGAGTCAATTGAAGCAAGACCATCATGGAAGACCTGGTAGCACTGGAAGGCCGTTTTGTCCTAGTATGGGACTCCTCAACAGTGCGCATCCATAATCCCACCCCGTAAGATTCAAACCCAGGACCTATTAGTCTCGCGTCATCTGTAAGTTGAAGACCAGATCTTGTAGAGGGTCATTAGTACCCGTGGGAAGAATGCATACTTCCGCGCCAGTGTCTACGAAATGGTGAAATTCCGTCATCGAATCAGTAATGTGTGGCAGACGGATATTTTCACCGGCTACGGCTATCCTTAACTCATACCGGCGGGGAATTTTCCAGGAAGGCTTGTCGTGATAGAAGGTTCAGGATGAAGGAAACAGCAGGGTTTTCTGCAATTTTCAGAAGAATCATCATACTTGTTATGGTACCGACATCGATCGGGTTTATCTGTTTCTTGTGGTTCACAGACAGATCTTTTACGCAACAGGCTTGTTAATGGAGTTTTGGAACGTCCGAGATTATGATGAATAGTAAGAAAACGAGTGACAGTACCTTGGTAGGTCTTAAATGTCGTTTTATGTAGTTTAAGGTCTTTCTTTGACATAAAAAGCTCAATACTGAGGGTTCTGGTGATCTTCAGAGTTCTATAGGCAGATGCAGCCGGTTCATCCACGGCGCTATTTCGAAACGAGACAACCACCGCTCTCACTTGTTGGTGAAGCAGAGTTGTCCAAAGAGACCTTCGCTGAGAGCCCATTGGTCAATGACTCCCACACACGCGCCAAAATTTCTGTTGCTGAGCCGTATGGGAATTCGGTCTTGTGGAAGAGCTGGTCATACCGTTCTCAACTTCTTAGGTCTTCCTGTTTAATTACAACCTTTTTTAGGATGACGCAAGGTTCGGAAACGTCGCTAGTAAACATATTAAGTGTAACATATCCATCAAAGTATAGCGGCAGTGCTTTACTATTACTACTACTACTACTACTACTACTACTACTACTACTACTACTACTACTACTACTACTACTACTACTACGAGGAGTCGTGCACGTGGGTCTATCACACCATGCCTGTGAAAGTCAATTTCTGCTGCGCAGAAATTGGCTTTGATATTATAAGATCATAATGGCTTGAGTCAAAAAGCTACAGGAGTAAGAGTCTTAATCTACAGGAGTTTGAGTGGCCATTTTCTCATTATGAGGATGAAATATATAAATGGGAGAAAAAAGTGGAGAATACAAAAATACCACCATACGTAAAATGTGACATGCCATATTAAAACAGGGAACAGACCCACAGTTTACCGTTCGGTGCATCAGACCACGTATGGCTCACTGCTAAAGATGCTACAGATATTCAGAATTTGACAACACTTTCGTCTGTAACACCTATACAATCAAAGGACTCCAACCCAGTTAGATCAAAAGCCATGAATAAATGTGTTCAGTAATATATTTGAAAGGTTGTTGACATTTTGAGAAGAGTTTAATCTAATCTGGCTAGTAGTTACGAGGGGTGCGTAGCACGGCATACTTAGTCGTGATCTGGTGCGGTTTCGTGACCGAGCGCTATCAGCTAGATGTGCCTAGTAAAACTGATGCGGTCAGCATCAAATGTCGGAGACTTATAGAACTACTTATTTCGGGGATTTATTTATCTTCACAAGTACTCTCAAAACTTCTCATAATTATTCACTAAATAAGTGAAATGTACTAGAGGGAGCCACTTTTTCACGAAATACTAGTTAAAAGATTTATGTGAGACTAAAATATCACAAAAAATTTATTTCGTCATTGTTCAAGTTTATTCACTTGTACTGCTGGATCTGATGAAAGACTCAGTATACAGGTTGGGCTTGGTAACGACTGATCGTGTGCCGATCATAGATGACATTACGGAACATTGTTGAACAAACAGTTGAGTAGAAGTCATAGCTGTATATCAAGTTCCTTGATTATGAGAAAGCATTTCACAGCGTAGATAGGAGAACCTTATCGAACCTTCTTTGACAACGTGGTGTAACTGAGAACATCATCACCATCATACAAAATGCCTAGGATAGACTACACTGCAAAGTCGTACATGGAGAGCAGTTTACAGGCGCATCCCAAGTAAGTAAAAAGGGCAGACCAAAGAATACATGGGGCCTAGAATTGGAGGCAAACATCGAAAGAATGGGTAACACTTGCCAATAATTGGAAAAGACAACCCAAGACTGCGTAAGTTGAAAAATCCTGGTTGACTGCCTTTGCTCCACAAGGAGTAACATTCGTAAGTAAGTAACTTATAAACGACCTGGGTATTTCTTCATAGATCACTAGATTGCTAAGACTTTTCGCAAGGTACTTGTATCAGTCCACTTATTCTCACCATATACCAAATAGGTTTTGGATTTCTTTCATTTTATTTGTGTAGATAACAGAACAATGGGAAAAGGCGCAGGAAAGTGAATTATTAGATGAAACAAAAGAGGTAAGATAAATAATTTCACCCTAAACAGATTCCAATAACTAGTATGGGAATGTTACACCAGGCTTTAACTTATTGTATAACTTCTATGCTTTTTCTAAATATTTTTAGATGTTAGACAAACAAAACACGTTGTGCAAAGACCTTATAGCTGAGAAAAATAAGCTGATTAATGAACTGAATTTAGTAAGTCGTAAATTTGTTTTAAAAATTAGTAGGAAATCGCGTACGGGACCAATAAACCAATTATGCCCGCAATATTTCGCATTTATGCAATATGAAAACATCGCCAAGATGAAAACCGAATGAGTTAAGATATTAAAACCTATATTGTTATAGATGATTTCAATTACTCATTTGTTGGGCATCTTGACTGAATTGTGATTAGTCTTCGCCGGCATATGTATGTAGTGTACGTATTTCCCCTATGTGGCTATTTTTCACACCTTATTATCGAACAGATGGATTTGCAGTCAGCAAAGATGGATCACAATTCAGTCAAGATGATCAACAAATTTATAATTCAAGTCCTCACCAATAATTATATAAATATCATGTGTGGATCTAGTAACTTAGTGAAGAGTGTATTGGCCTTTGAAGATAAAGTTAATAGTTTCAAGCCCCAGTGCGGAAATTAACACTAGGATTCTTGCATAAGTCTGATATCGAATGAAACACGTACCCCGGGATTCGTATATTCTATGAAGGAATGCCTATGGTATTGAAAACTAAACATATATAGAATATATTTATAAGCGTTTATATTTTCTTATTATTGGTATTAAAGGCTACAATCGGTCAGTTTCCATAGGTATGTGTAGGTTTTAAACGAATTTATTCGATATTGCAATTTAGTCATTAGTTCAAGAGCATGGAGTTAAAATGAGGTTTAAAAACGTAACAAAAACATGGAATAATACTAAACTAAATACAAATAAGGCATATACAAGATATTCAATGTCAGTTGGTCGGATACCATCAGCAACAGCCTACTGTAATAGAGAACAAACCATCTTCCAACTGAAGAGGAAATTAAGAAGAGATGATGGGAGTGGATAGGGCAGACATTACGAAAATCATCAAACTGCATCACTAGGCACATCCTAAGTGGAATCCTGAAGGGAAACTCCAAAGAAGAAGTTCGAAGAACACACTGAGATGGGAATTGGAAGCAGACATGAAAAGGATGATTAGCACCTGGAAACAAATGGAAAGGATTACTCAGGACAGTGTTAGATGAATAATGCTGTTGGGTGGCATATGCTCCTCGATGAGGAGTAACAGGCGTAATTTAGTAATCAAATAAAACTTAGAGGGTAAAAAAGGAATGAGTACAAATGCAATATTTATTTCAAGTAGTGTTATTTAAAGTCATCGACTATAGATTATAATGCAATCTAAAGTCCATTTTTGAAGTTTTTATCTTCAAACACAACTTTGTCAATATGATCAATTATTTTACAACGTTAGTTCAAGACAAAATGTTTACGACTTATGTCAAACACTATAATACATGTTTCGTGGAAATAGTTGTTGGTTTTCCCAGTCAAATTGTTTAATAGTTGAAAGGAACTCTAACACCATAAGAAATAAATTTCGAATTTTTTGGAATCTTAACTTTTTCACTTCTTAAATCTTTTCTTTTTCAAATGAATCTATCATATCAGAGCGGGAGGTTTGTGGAGATTGGAGTTACTTTAATAGTTGAATTCATGAGTCGATCTGAGCTAGATTACTATTGAAAACCTGGACATTAACGCCGTTAGATGCTGTCTCAGTGGTCTAGAGGTTAAGTGCTCGAGGGCGAGACTGAAAGTCATGGGTCAAGTCCCGCATGGAGGATCGTGGATAAACCGTACTAAGGAGTCCCGTGCTAAAACGAAACGGCCTTCCAGAGCTTCTTGGTTTTCAGTAGTAGTCTATCTTAGATCGATTCATGAATTCAACTATTAAAACATCCATCATATGTTTACTATCATCAAATTAAAAACGTTGTTTTTTTATGTTTGACTTAAATGAAATTAAAAACAATACAGGAAATTAAAGCTAAAGATGATCATTATGTAAGAGAATTAAAGAAACGCACAGATGATATTGATTTATTAGCCGAACGAATGGAATCACAAATTAAAGCTATTCAAAGAACCTATCGGGAAGAACTAATTGCCATTGAAGTATGTAGCATTGTAATAATAATAATTATTATGCTTATTCTTTTCATCAGCATTATTATGCAAAGTTCAGTCAAGGGATCTCATTTTTTTAGTGAGTTTATTATGAAGTTATACAATTGTGTATTATATATAAATTGTAGGAATCAATTTCGTGAGGACATATGAACAATGAATGAACATGATGACGTGACAGAGTCATTTCATAGTGTAAATTATAACAATAAAAGATTATGTGTATGTAAATAGAAAAATCCTGTAAAATTATTAAGTTAACAATGGATTATAATGTGAATAGAGTAAATTAATTAAAACGTATAACAAAGGTTAAATGAAGTGAAGTGATATCAGAAACAATTATGAATAAATTCATGAACGAGGGATATTTTCTGTGGTGAAATCAGTGAAATGAAAACAAAATAATAATAATAATAATAATAATAATAATAATAATAATAGAGTTGGATGGTGGCTAGCAACGGAATCTAGGGCAAACATTTGTTTTGGATAAGAGTGTTCATCTGAATATACCTGCATCCCATAGTTAACGTCCACTCCACAATACGAACTCAGAACCATTTGCTTTAAACACCATCACATTATCCAATTAACCTCACAGTTCATATAGTCACTGGCTTGTGCAGTTGTGTGAAGTTTAATTCGTTTCTATTGGTGCTCTGAATCTTCTCATTGATGTTTCAGACTGCAATTGATCAGTCTCTTTTGGCATAATAATAACAATAGTAGTTTAACACCATAATTTGGCAATAATAAGACGTACTTCATTTTTACACACAATTCACACTTCATTTTTTGAATATAAAAAGCATCTGATGTTTTAATGAGTTGAATACAAAGAAGTCCTTTATAAACAACCTTAATATCAACATTTCGAACAGTGGAGTGATTAGAAACGATTAAGTATTCAAGTATAGAACTCTTAATAGTTTTCCTTTCCCCTTTCTAGATCCACACAGTAATATGTTCTCATACCCAAGTTGAAAGCTAATTCACCTTGTTCTACAAAACCAGGTGAATTGATAGATACAAACAGAAGTTCTTGTTCATTTCCTCACTGAATTAATACCTACAATAAATTCATCGAAAAGAGATTCCTTCGCTGAAATTCATGTTTTTAATATTTATATATTATATATCTGTTTATTATTACGCGTTTGATTTATATTATTATTATTATTATTATTATTATTATTATTATTATTATTATTATTATTAATGGCTTCATCCAATATTATATTGTAATACAATATAGAATTCGCTCAACATACTCATTAACAATTTTTAATGTAAACTATCTAGAACAAGATATAGATAAGATATTCATTAACCAATACAAGATTACACTTTTTTCCAAAAGATAAGTCCTTCAGTTAGTCTGGTGTAATTTCAAATCAATTATACAGAGATAGTTATTACTTTTGATTAACGTATATAAGTGTTTTTATTTTCAACCTGTTTTTTGAACATTGAGATGTAAAATGCTAGAAGGTGATTGACGGGAAATACTGTTTTACTTAGGCTTTGTCCTTGTTGGAGCTCATCAGCAAGGTACACCTTCAGTCTTGGAAGAATTGATATTCCATGGCATTGTCAATCAGTTTCACTGTCTGAGACCTTACCGCTTATTGTTGAATTCAGTTCAACTCAATAACCAGGGACTTTATTTTTTCTGTTTCTATTTAGTTAAGAAAGTATCTATTGTAGTTTAGATGTTTGAAATGGAACAATTAAGAGACCCTGACGTTTAAATTTCATGTTTTTTATCAACTTTAAGAGGAAAACATGTTTGCCCAGAAAAGACTGAGATTATTGTAATATTCTACTTCATAAACGCAAACAATTTCACTAACCTATTTAAACCATAACTGATGGTTTGGAAGATTAGGTTATAGACGAAAATTGATGAAAATTAGCTTAGTAATTAGCCATGGACAATACAAAATTTGATACAAATTTGTGACGGTACAAGTTGTAAAATTTTCATATTAGCATTGTGAGTTACAAATCAATTTGTTCTTTCTTTGAAATAATCAAATTTCATGAATCAAGTACTCGAGTGTTAGACCATTAGGTTGATTAAACGATATTCCTATCTACTGTAAATCACTTCTATTATCTTATATAATCTTTTTCGGTTACCATTTTAATTTCATAGAGCGATTTATCAGTTCGATGTTAACTGCAATGTTTTGAATATTCACTAATTGAACCGTACCCAGAGCTTTTGATAATTTTTTCTTGTTCATCTATTATGTAATATTCTTTATATTTTCAATTTAAGTACAAATTTTACTGCATATTTATATGCATTTCATTCGATATGTCTACGAAATGGGTTACACTGGACATGTTCATAATAGACATTTCCGGATAATTACACTTTCATTATACAGTTGTCACCCATTCAATAAACAATAAAAAATATCAAAAGTGTGGGTTATGATATAGTTAATGAATATATATATCAGACACATTACAAATAATCTCAATCATTTATCAATATCTATTCACCTGAAGGTAACAACCCCCCTTGTCTAATTAATTTTTTTTTATATTTTCAACCTAATAGAATGCATTTTTAGATCAAAGAGAAAAATTAACTAGTGAACAAAATGCTGAATGGGGAATGTTGATGAATGAAATCAAACAGAAACAAGTAAACTACTATATATGAGAATATTTTGTGTGTGTGTGTGTGTATGAAGAAAAGTCGTTGATTGATACTGTTTTTAAAAAACATATTAATGTTTAGTATAAAAGAGACCATTTTTAGTAAGATGTTTTAAATGGGAATAATTTTTTTTAAAGGAAAGGAAATTAAATTTCAAAACTTTTGTCTCCTTCACCATTGACCTGTACCCTTCTCTCACCAATTCAAAAGCAGCATTTTTACCGGCTCGGCCAATGAAATTCCTATTATCAGACATACTTAAAGAGTGAGAACGAATCAATTACATGATACTTTTTATTGAGTTCATGAACCGATCAGTGTTAGACTACCATCGAAAACCCGGAAGCACTATACGGATTCCTCGGTAGTGTGCATCTACGATCTCTCCTCAAAGGGACTCGAACCCAGGACTTTTAGTCTCGTGTGCGAACTCTTGACCTCTGGACCATTGAACCGGCATCCGACGGGTTAATGTCCAACTTTAAACAATCCACAATATTGTGCTACCATCCTCCATTGTCTTTGGTAGGTAAGTGCCTCACACCTGACACGGTTGAACTTCACTGGTGATGGCTTCTCACTAAAACTCTGAGAATTACGTTTTGAGGCTAGTTACTAGTAAGCACATGACATTTATCAGTATAGGGTTATGGAGATTTTTGAGTTTTAATTGATTTCATGAACCGATCATGATACTTTTCTAAAAAGGAAAAATGGTAGGCATTTATAATTCTTATTCTCCTACACCCCCCCCTTCCGCATGAAATCTGTGAGCTATTTTTAAACATGATATAACTTTTATAAAATGCAGTAAGTTTTGACGTGTACTAATATATGCTGTTATCATTACTTATAAACTGTTTGTCACTCCCTAAGCGCCATTTCACATAGCTGATACATAGAGATGATCGAACGTAATTTATCAAGCTCATGGTAGCACACCTATCATTTAACACAATATTAACGATTATTGCATAACATTATTATTAAAAATGGAGGGATTTGAACATACAGTTTAATAAGGTTGAGATCTCTGAGCTAAATAGTATGAGTAAGGCCAATAAAAACCGGCCTGGTGATAAGTGGTCATGAGTGGCCAAGAAATGGCTCACATCTCTAAGAAACGAGACATGCACAATTGGCGGTTCAATTTTGTGAGGGATATATATGAATGCCGACTGAATTTAGTCAGTAAACTTCCTTCTTATTCAAGTAGCCGATTGGGTTCATGTTTGGAAAGATCGTGTATCAATATCGAAATCGGACACCGCACGTCACAGAAGTTAATTTACATGTAAAGTTTTCACTGTCCTTCTAGACAACAATGTCGACACGGGTTTTGTAGAATTTAAATTTAACAAATGAAAACATAAGTACAGCAAAGAAATCATCAGAAACGAATAATACTATCTGTACACCAATCTTTATATCAATAAAACTGGAACCAATTTTACCTTGGTTTAATGTAGGTACCAACAGTCTTTTTTAATATACATAAAAGAAAGCTAAGAATTTAACAGACCTATGGATGATTTCACCTTAGACTAATTTGATGCAACATTTCGAAATGGTTATTCTTATTAAGATTAATCCTATGACCATCTTCGTATTAAGTATTTGGTACAAGACATGGATCATAAGCAATATAGAATCTGCTGCAAGTATGTATCGCTTCAAACTCCCACACCATATCAACACAGAAAAATGAGAATATCAAGATAAGTCACAGAGTAGTACAAGTAATGGAAGTATCAGTTATAGTAGAAAAGATTATGGTTATACGATATGTCTTAAAAAGAAGGAGTTTGCAAAATAGAATGCATGGATGTTTTAGGGCAGAGTAAATACACCTACGTCATTCAAACCTAGTTTGACCCATATCACTGAACATCTCCAACCATTGGTTATGATAATCACATGGATCCCAACCAGGTAGTCTGCACCTACCAGCATGTCTCAATTCAATGCTTAATGACTTCATGGACTGATGCGCCATCTCCATTTAGTAACTCATTAGCTTTCTTACAGTCTACTCCTACACCAGACAACATCGCGTATCGAGGTAATCAGTTTGTTTCAATTCATAGTGTCTATTAGACTGGTGTATTTGTTCTATTCCCATTGATTAATTTCCTCTTTTACATGACTCTCATAGACTAATTATTTAAAACAACGTGAAGATCAGGCTATTGAATATGAGAAAGAACTTTATGATCTACGCACTAAATATTCAGAAGAGTACAATGCACTGAAAATATCATTGGGCGCTGAAGTCGAGGTAAGTCAGTGAATTAATCATGATAATGAGAAAATTATGATCTTTTACATCTCGCAAATATATTAGATTAAATTTATGTACTCCTGTGATATATATTATGGGAAGAGGGATAAGTAGGTGAAAAAAGTAATCAGCATTCACAACGATTATGTTATGAGCGTAAATGGTACTTATTAACAACACTCATCGATCGCTCTATCAGGGATAGGACCCAGGACTTTTACGTCTGCTGGTCAGCGCTTAATCTTCAGACTGTTAGTTTGTTAATTAATAGTTTATGTATTCGGGGGTTACCTGTTGAAATCAGTCACTGATGAGCGTACATGATTAGCGCGGGATAAATGTCAAGTGATTACTAAATTCAATGATTGCTTAATTAACATCAATCGTGACATCAACTAAAGGATGACATTTGTTTGATGTATTTTTGTAACTTTTCTTTCAGTATCACAGATATTATATAATCAAACTTGTTATTATTGTTCTATACTTTTTGACCGGTGATTTAAAATAGTTCTGCACATGCTACCATATTGACTATTTGTATTCTTGTACTCTGATATTACAATTTTTAAGATAGCATAAAGTCATAATGTATTATTGACTAATAGAAATACAATTTTTCAGTGCATTTTCATCTTCAGATAATTCAATCCTTCTTTAAAATATCTAAAGAGAATGAATGAAAACGGAATGAGTTTTAAAATTACCATTTTTAAAAAATTTCGTGTGAATTTGAACTCGGAGCCATAAAATCACAGTCTTATTGATTGATTCTGAAAGACACCTAAAAACATCTTTACACATAACGGTACATTTTATACTGACATTATTGATTGAAGCGGCTCTAAAATTTCTATGTTCTTATTTATCTCCTCAAGTGTAGAGTTAGTTTAAACTTGGCAACCTATTTTTTATTTAACTGTTAATTGATGAAAGCTGCCATTATCTTGTAAGTATGACTGCTACCTTAAGTTATTTCTTTTTTCGATATGACTGAGTAAAGAATAAAAACCGAATTACGGATCATGAATGAGAAAATATATACATTTATGGTGTTATTCATTATCATCCTCTCTGTGAAGGGAAGAAATTGGATGTTTCTTTTTATATGGAAGCTCTGAAGAGTTTTTTTTTGGGGGGGATCATGAACTTTGTGCGCTACCGAATATGTGTAAGTCTGATAAGTAATTACATTCAACACTAACTTTCCGAGAGTTTACGACACATCAATTTCAATCATCTTCTCTAATAATCGGACGCAGATTCTTTTAGTTTTATTATGTTCTTACAATCCAGATAAGTCATTCTGAGGTAAAACTGAAACTAATTAGACACAATAGAAAACGAAACGACCTAGATGAAGAAAATTATTTACAAACTCGATTATTGTATTACTTAAATGTAATCAATCAGTCACTTAGTTTGTGAAGATGAAATGTTTTGTATATAAATAGGACTTTATGTAATTCATTCAATATACTATTCAACTTTAGTATACACTCTTTGTTTTTTGTTGTTGTTGTGGAATTTAGACATTTGAAAGTCATTTACAAAAATTAAAATCTACATATCAATTGAATTTAGAAAAATTAGATTATAATTATCAAGTTTTAAAACGACGTGATGAAGAGAATACAGTGCTTAAATCAAATCAAAAGAGAAGAATTACACGTCTACAAGATACATTGAATAATTTACGTATAAAATCAACTAAACAAGAACAACAATACAAGTGAGTAGTATGTGTTTCTTTGGTGGGAGTATTAATTCAATTGAGACTGTTGACAATTTACAGTTATATTTTGTGATTTATATCTGCGTTTTGACTAAGTCACACTGTTATAACTCTCTCTTATTACAACCTAGCTATTCCTATTGCTTAGTATTCTCGGACATCAATTCACTCGACAAGTCCCCAAATCAGAACACGATTGAACAGGAAAGAGATAATATTCCAGATAACAAGGTTAGATGGAAGTAAGAAGCACAATAGGGAAAACGTTAGTATATTTATAGTTTTTACATGAAAAGATTCTAGAGTGTTCTCCAAGTATCGACTAACACTGATTGTATAAGAATTAGCTAATCAGCGTGCGCCAACGCGATCGTGCTTGGAGCATGCTTTAATCCAATCTATGTACCGCTAACACATACATATTTATTTTCTATCTTATAAGTAAAAAATTTACGAAAAGAGTGTATTTAATGGTGTTGAATTCTTCAAGCTTGTTGGCTTAATTAAAATACTTTCATTGTTGTCCTGATTGGTAGAATTATTAAGGATTTATTACTTAAATCTTAAAGTATTCAACATCATGGAATACAACTTACACATATAATAGTCTGGTGTATGCTACTTATATATATCGACAAACATAAGTTGTATACAACTCCACTCAGAAATGGAATATCTGGCAGTAGATGGTTGGGAAGATCGAATTGAAGAGAACGGAAGCAGAGGGTATTTGTTCTGGTAATGAAGGAACGATGAAGTTTGAAACAATTGATGGAGTATTTACAAATGAAGTATTGAATGTATAGTTTTAACATTTGATGAAAAAAACTCTAATTTTCTATTAAAACACAGTTGGTTTTCCCCACATGTGTTCTCATTCATTAAAATGGTAAATGGGTGATAAAATAATGCTTGATGAAAGGTTGTCTATTCAAACAAATAAAAGTTGAATTTAAAGCTTCATCTCACTATATGAAAGTCGCTCATTTATTGCAATATATCACTCAATCAATGTCTAACGTTATCTCTGTTTTAGACTTCCAACTTGCTTTTAATTTGAAATGAATTATCCTCTTTTGTCTCAAATAAAACTTGAGTAATATTAATTACTAGACCATCACTGTTCACTTGTACAGTGATTTTCCTTCACGAAATTTAATCTGCTCCATATCGTTTTGTTAGCGTGTTTTGTAGTTTTTAGTATTAACAACTTACATGTAAGTAGTATATACATATAAATACAATTATTGTAACTACAGTTTCCTGACTACAGTGCAAAGTCGTGCAGAGAGGACAGCTGACAGACGCATTCCAAGTGAGAACCGGAGTCAGATAAGGCTGACTGCTATCATCCTTTCTCTTTCTTCTGGTGATTAACTGGATCACGAGGACCTACACATCTGGGGGGAGGCACGGAATACAATGGACAGCTTACACGCAACTAGACGGTTTGGACTTCACAGATAACCTAGCTATTCTATTCCATGCCCACGAACAAATGCAGACGAAGACAACTAGTGTAGCAAAAGCCTCTACATAAATAGACCTCAACATACACAAAGAAAAAAGAAAGATCCCCAAATGCAACACAGAGAACACCAACCTAATCACGCTTGATGGAGAAACTCTGGAAAAGATGGAATCCTTCAGGTGCCTGGGAAGCATCATCGATAAACAAGAAGGATCTTGTTTAGACGTAAAGGGTAGGGTTGGCAAATTAAGGACAGCATTATTACAATTAAAGGACATATGGAAATCAAAACAACTGTCAACCAGTATCAAAGTGAGAATCTTCAATACGAACAGAGCTGAAACGTGCAGAACTACCACAACTATCATCAAAATGGCACAAGTATTTATAAACAATTTTCTACGCAATATACTCAATTTTCGTTAGTCGAATACCATCAGCAACAGCCTGCTATGGGAGAGGACAAACTAGCTTCCAGCTGAGTAGGAAATTAGGAAGAGATGATGGAAGTCGATAGGACATACATTACGGAAGTCACCAAGCTTTATCTTTAGGCATACCCCAAATAAAAGTCCTGAAGGGAAACGCTAAAGAGAAAGGCCGAAGAACACACTGCGATGAGAATCGGAAGCAGACATTAGAAGAATGAATAGCATCTGAAAATATATGGAAAGGATTACTAAGGACAGAGTTGTATGGAGAATGCTGGTGGCTTATGCTCCTCAAAGAGGAGTAACAGGCGTAAATAAGCTTCTTATTACATTATGAATCGATATTTCAACCCAATCATACTGACAAGATACATGAAATGTCTCATAAAGTTGTCTAAATAATAAAACATTCTACAAAAAGACAAATTACTCTTTATAGAGTGGATGCTTTTTTTCACGTAACATGGAGCTCATTATATTGTTACACAAAATAGCTAATATTATCACATGGGAAATAATTCTGATTCTCCCCATTGTTATTATTACTATCCTGTTTTCTTTTAGAGTAGAAAATGAACAGTTATCTGAAGATTATAAAAGAAGAATGGAAAATTATAGTGATTTACAAAAGAAATCAAAGTATGATTCTGTGTATAGTACAACTGCCTCATTTTTTATTTAGCCCTTAAATGAGAAAACTAGAAAACAAATTGTGTTTATTATAAACTGATTAAAGACATTAAGACTACAAATGAGAATTGGGTGTAATGTGTAAAATCTGTTTTGTTATTGGTTTCAAATTATCTAGTAGGATTACATTTATGACTCTATGTAGTTTCTGTTAAACATATCCTGTTCATGTAAATGATATACCTAAATTGCCAATCAATCATCATAGATTCTTTCAAAGTATTGATTGTGTGTGGTAGAAGCTTTGAAGTGGATAAATATAGAGTAATAAGTAGAGACATTGAATAAGCTGATCAGGACCTTAGGCTTCATCGACTGAGATTGTTGACAGATGTGCTACACACTCATCTTTATCACCCATCTCTATGTACACTGAAGGCTAGTGTAGAAATATATTTGCAAAAAGATGAAGGCGATTAGATCAAGACATGATAATAGTCCATAAAGTTATCGATTGGTGGTTGAACCTTATGGCATGATGTGAAATTCATGGTTGGAGTATATCAGTTAATCATAATTTATGTTTAGTTATGATACAGTAATATCTCACTTCATTCTATTGTATCATGGGTTGAATTTTTGAATTTCTGTTAACATCGCCATAGTTGATTGACTAGAGATGTCGTCATCTTATCAAAACCTGTTACCCCTAACGAGTTAGAGCATATCATTCAAGGTGTACAGTCATTGATCATAGTTACTGAGGGGATCCAAGTTTGGATGTTTGTATTTACTGGTGTAGCTCAGACGAATTTTTAATTATCTTATGACTTGATTCGAACCTTCCGTTTGTCTGTAGGTATCAATCCCAAGGTTGGACTTGATATCTCAAATAAATTGGGCATTGGGTAGAAAGTTAATAATAAATATATTTTTGGGATATCACAAAAACATAGTTATTATTAACCTCCGTTTGTATGTTGTTTTTTGCTTGATTTTAATATGGTTTTATTCTAGCCAATACTGAACATTAGGATAAGGGGTTTTTGAGTACGTGTAATCAGTATTCTAAGCACACCAGTCGATAGAGGTCCACAACATGATTCTACTTAGTAATGTGCTCCTTACCTCAGCATTAGTCAATCAGTGGTTCCACCATGATTAACTTATTCTGTGAAGACATCTACTATCAAATACCAGTAACCTGTATATATCCCTCATTTTCAAAAATCATGAATTAAGACAAAACGAAGTTTTAAACAGTAAGCTCTCTTCTTGGTACGAAGACGGGTGTCTCGCCACAAATGATATGAGTTAGGGAAATGCAAACATGATTGTTGATACGCACGTTATATTTATGTTAAACCGATCACCATTCTTATCATATATACTTAAAACATTATCATATATAATTTTAATAAGTATAGAGGGGATTTGTGGAGATTGTAAAACTTTCGTATTTTATGTCACGAACGGACCTTAGTTAGACCACTACTGAAAAACCTGAAAGCACTGAATAGTTGTTTTGCTCTAATATGTGATTCTTCAACAGTGAGCACACGAAATCCCACCACAGAGAGTTAAACCCATGTCTTAAGCGCTAACGCTTAACCTCTAGACTATTGAGCCGGAACCCATTGGTATACAATGATTGTAGACGCGTGAGATTAAAAGTCCTGGATTGCTTTACAAATGCAATGGGATAGACGCACACTGCTGATATGTCCCATGTTAGGATAAAACTATTGTCCAGTGTTTCAAGGTTCTCAATAATGATCTAGCTATGGTTAGTTCTAAATTTAAACTACGAAGATGAACAGTTCTGTCGTCAATATGATTTCTAATAAAAATCAGATAACATGATCATTTTATATTCTTTATTTTTCATTAATTAAAATATAAATAACAATTTGTTTAATTAAAACAACAAACAATTTTAATGAGTTATTCAAATCTCGTATTTATTATTTTTTTTAAAAAAACACACCTTAATTAAGATTGTTAATAGAAAGTGTACAACGAAATTTTCATGATATTTGGATAATGAATGAAGAGAATTTGAAACAATTAGGTAATCGTCTTTTGGAAGCACATCGAATTATTACTGAACAACAACTTGGCTTAACATGGAACCCACCAGATATGTAAATATTTCTTTTTTTATTTACTGAAAACAAAATTGCAGTTTATAAAAGTTTTTCTTCTTTATTTGACATTTTCACCGGATATTTAAATAGATTTATTTATTTTTAACACATATATATTGGTACAAGGAGGCATCAAATACATATGCGTCACACAAATTTCATTTGATTTCTGTAAGGGGTGTGATACTGCCCGGGTGCCCAAACCGAAGCAGGTAGTTTTCTTAGGGAGCCACCACCCAGAGTCTTCGACGTGAAGGGCTGATCCACAAGGCAGTGGAGCATCGTAAGGAGATGTAGTCCCATGGTAGCCGGCGACCAACGATTGGTTTGTACGCCATTTGTTCCCTCAGGGTACTGAAGCCCATGTGCACCAGTGGTTTGGAATTAGAGTTTTCCAACTACTTTACGTAAACTCTCCGTGTCTACCAACCCGGTTAAAGCACCGGACACTCGCTTTTTGTCCTCCCAATTTCGTAAACAACACCCTCGCCACGAGAAGGCAATGAATAGAACTTCCCTGGCAGAGGCTATATACTCATGGCCATGTGAAAGCATTTCGAGAAGGAGAGCGGACTCTCTCCACTCTAGGCCGTACCAGGGCATTTGGAGGCAGCCCAGCTAGCTCAGTTGGTAGAGCATTTAGATAGAACCGAAACTACTATTCATCAATGCTTTTATTGATTAATAATTTTTACATTCAATGGTACTATTTTTTAAGACCAGTAAGTAAATAAACATGATCATTTCGTACGATTGTTATAAACATATAGTTCTGGTATCAGAGACAATAACTGATTGACACTTGATTTATTACATAACTATTAATAATTAGCTTCGAAATTAATTCTATGAGGTGGAAAGTCGTAAACATTGGAGGCGCATACAAGTCGAGAATGATGTCATTGACTGAATAGTGGAATTATATAGGGATCACTTTACATCACAGATTGATCAAAATAATAACAAATGATGCAGTTGACTTAGGCTTAGTAGTCTAAACATTTCGTACTCTCAGTGAGACTTGAATGTACTAGGCTTCGGTGTTTAAATAGACTTGGGTCACAATCTACTTAGTGCAGTTTGGGAGGCCTGGTAATATTACTAAAAACCTCTACATATCAAAAGTAAATTATGGTCCAAACTGAGTGCAGGAATGTGCACTTAATTACTAAGTTGTATTTTTTATCGTAACCGTAGTTTTGATTGAACTTTAACATCAAAGATGCTTTGCTAATAATAATTCAACACGAAAACGTAAGTCGGTATCATTAACATAGGAGCCATTATACCAGAATTCTTAAAGAAATATGAAATTCTTAGTCCCATTTGCAGTTCGAGATGATGGTGAATATTTACAATTTATTGTAGAATATTTTTGTGCTCTTGTTGAGTAGTTTATTCATGAAACTCTCGTTCTACTCATTGACTAGTTTGTGTTGATGATGTTGTTTTGAAGTAACACAATGAAAACGTCGTAGCTTAACTATCAAGCTCAAAAAACACATTACTAAATCTGATGATAACAGGGTCTCTGCAATGTCTGAAGATCTTGAATTTGGTTAACAGTGGCTTCGTAAATGAATACTACCAAGAAATTATATACCACGACGAAAGCAGTTATACAATGCTTTCTTGTTTTGAACACTTGTGACCTTACAATAGGTCTATGAGACGTAAACTATCTTCAAATTGAATAATCTCCATAGATTCTTCATGTTAATCAAAATTATCTTCATTTTAAGACTTTTACGAGTATCTGTTTACCGAAATCCCATAAATGAATATATCATAGTTGTAAATAAAAATAACTAAGAAAATGAATATGCTCATAATTAGTAACTACTATTGATGATCTCCAGTGACATATATATGGTACATTTCATTGTTTTTTTTCTAGATCATTCATGGAAAATGTAGGTCCAGTGAAACAGATCACCAGTATACCTCCAGCTATAATTGCAATGGAATTAGCCTTACAATCTGATAAGAAGTAAATTGAAAATTTATTCTTCTATCCCATTTAGAACTTGTATTCAATTAAGCATAAAACTTACACTATTGATAATTGATATTTATAAAATCTATGTAACATTGAGTTTGGACCAATAGTGATTTTCTTTGTCTAACTTTATGATGAATCAGTGATTAGTTGATATTTTATGTTTGAAATATTTCAGTTTGATCATTTCATAACATTAGTATACACTGGAATTTGATAGTTTTAAACTCAGACAAAGTACAGATGTATAGATTGTCTATTGAAAACTCATTAATAGCTCATCTTGCTAATAATCACCAATACTTTAGTAGTCAACCAATCAGTCAGTCAGTCATAAGCGCAACATAAAACGTGTCATTTTATACATCGGTTGTCACAATACCACATTACACTGAAATACTAGAGTAGTACAAATAGTTACGGTAATAGGAAACATTGAAGATGGATAATCACAATGAAAAGAGAATATGAAGTCACAAAGTGGAAAAGTATCAGATAACTTTAAAGCCAATGATTTAATGGAAGATTAAATGTTTCATAATCTTATATGAGGCGAATATTTAGTCGGTACATCTAAATCTGGGTCTAAAATCAGTCTGATTTTCTCGGATTCATTCTTCGGATTACCTATTTAAGCGTTGTATAAGCCACTATATTTTTTCTAAATATCGACTAACTTCAAATTTTTCTAGAAACTTTCCAGATTCACAGAATGTGACCTCAGAAAATAAAATACCTACAACATTGAAAGAAGTTTCATCAAAAACTGTACAAGAATTTTTGCACTTACTGTGTTATGAGCCTGTATGTTTTCGTATTATTTCCTCATAATTTAATTAGACTTTAAAAACGCATAATATTTATAATTGATTGATCACTGGGTGGTGATCAATGTCATGTGTGTCAAGTCCTTATTTAGTGCAGATCGAATGCTAAGTGACTCGACACTGCGGGCACTATACATTGAGATTAGATGGTGGCCACATTGCAACATGATCGATAGCATTCGATCTGTGGACTGTGTCCACTCTATAAGAAGTGAACGTTTATTGATTCATTCAAAAATTTACATCAAAGTATGTCAAACAATTTATCCAACATGATGATTTAAATACATCATACGACAATAAACAGTATTGAATAATCGAATTTGGACTATCAGTTAACCATGGTTGTTATTTTTAAATGTTTTTTTTACTAAATAACTCAATGATAAGTATATTGGCTGTGTGCTTCTAAGTGGTATACATTTGAATCCCAGTATGATGAGTATATCTCTTCCATCCATTAGTTTATACTAACTGGGGATGAAATATATGTTCAAGAATTTGTTGTGGATTCGCTTTTCAATGTTCAATATACGTGCATTATTATTTAGTGAGTGAATCCTGGACGTAACAACATAATTTTCACCATGGATTTCATTTCAGGCTCTAAATTTCATTATTATTTGCTCTTTTCATACGATAAGTTGAAATGTGTTACACAGACGTGTTCTGTAGATAACTACAGAAGATTAAATTGAAATCTGAGGAAATTATTATCTTACACCACTGACACACTATATGGACAAAATAATTCTAGAAAATTCGAGATATCACACTTTTACTGAACATTGACAAAATGATGATTGGCCTCATGCTGTAGTGAACAGAACACGGGTGGGGACAATCGAATGTATTTAACACAAAATTACAGGACTTGTTAATAAAATCTAACAATCATAAAGTAAATGCTTAATTTGCAAAATGTCCACCAATTGTCTCAAAATGACCCAGACTTCATTGTTGTTGCATTTTCATACAAATTGCATCCTGTTTCCATTCTTTGTTGTTCGATCCTCTTGTCTCTCTTCTGCCAGACCTTCTGTTTACGACTAACATCATATACTACTTATGTCAGTATAAGTAGCACACACCATAATAGTACTGGTTGAGATTTAACAATTGTATTCAAAATTGATGGGTAAAAAAACAAAGAGAAATTCGAACTTTTATCATTTTACATTTTAGTTAAATGACACTAATGCTTTTTGTGTTATAACAATAATTGTAGGAATTTTTAATTGATGAAAACATAAAACGTTTGTTAGAACCGTTAGGATATGAAGAAGGGTTACTTTTACGTCTAGATACAATACTAACGGTAAGTAGGTTTTTAAAAAAAAATTAAATTGAATAAATATTAACAGTGTAGGGTTATGGAGATTGTTGAGTTTTTATGGAGATCATGAACTGATCAATGTTAGATTACCAGTGAAAATCAGGAAGCATCGAACGGCCATCTCGTCCTAATGTGGGACTCCTTAGAAGTGTACATCCACAATCCTTCATGAGGGACTCTAACTCAGGACATTTGGTGTCTCAGAGGAACACTTGACCTCTCAACCAGTTAGCTGGCGCCCGAAGGTGTTTATGTCTAACTTCAATCGATCCATGATCTTGCGCAACCCTTTATCCATTGTCTGAGGTAAATAACTGCCTCACACTCGACACGAACTGGGCTCCACTTGTCACGATTTCTCACTAGAACTCCAGGGAGTCCATCTTGAAGTTGATCACTAGTGAACACGTGATTATTATTAGTATGGATATTTATGAATATTGTAGTACTTTAACAGTTGAATTCACAAGGTTAAACGTTCCTGCACGAAACCAAATGTGGGTTCGAGTCCCATGTGGGGAATCGTGGGTGAGCGCTGCTGAGGAGTCCCATACTAGAACGAAACGATAGTTTTGTGCTTTCATCCTGGATTTCACTGCTAGTCATGTTCTATTTGTTCTATGTTCTTTACAATACTCATTTTATTGTCGGTCAAAGTTTAGTCTTTTATCTAACTGAAATGATTTATACAACTTTGTAAAATATAGAAATTTTAGTCTTTCTGTTCAATAATCGATTTTACCTAAACGAATCTAATCCATTTATCTCACCAAATGGAACTAACAAGATAATCATCTTTTCTTCATTTTCCTAAAAAAAGAATAAATCTAGAATGTCAATATTTTTCAAAACATTATTATCCTTTCTTACAGATGAAAATTTTATCTTGAACACTATTAAGTTCAATAAAAAACTTAAACCTTATAGTTAAATCAGTTGAGTGAATTAACTTTGATAAGTCTGAGGCAGTGAAAAGTTACCTTCAGAAAATCTTTTGCAACTGTTGGATAAAAATAGTGTGTGAAGACAAACGACGTCTCTAAGGTGGTCATCCTACATTATGGCCTCAAGTTATAACTGCTTATATACTATAAGAACTGAATCATGACAAATACACTTATTTGATAGCATAATTTTTGGAAATGTGATATGATTGTTTCATGAAAACATCATGAAATATTACAATCTTGAATCGTTGGTTTATTGTTGTTGTTGTGTTTTTTCTTTGTAGGTTTTAGGTGTACAAACAGAAGAAGATTTAAATATGTTATTTACATATTTTGTCGAACAACAAAAAGATAATAAATCTCAGCTTAAACGTGTACCTTCAACAACCATTGAAGAATCAAGTAAGTATACAATTCTATTGTCATTTGAATTTTTCAAAATTCAATAAAGTTGAACACAGTTATTTGCAGCATTTAATTTTTCTACAGATATAGAACAAATTAACTTGATGTATACTTGATTTATTAAAGGATTATAAGTTTACTACAACTTCTATTATTGTTGAAAGTACTCGGTCGGTCAGCCAGTAACAACGTAGAACCTGTACATGTGTACATTAGTTCAAATTGTTAGGCCACATAAGCACGGAGAGATGAAATTGTCACGCCAAATTTTAGAATAGTAGAGTTCGTAACAGTATCATTAATAATAGTAAAGATTAAGCATCGAAGATACGATTCAAGAAAATACAAATTAGTGAAATAAAGATATAAAGAACGATTTGAGAATTTCATTAACCCAGAGTTTGGAGAAAGCCAGAGAATGGATACACTTGCACAATTGCAAATGATTTTGATCTATATTATTCAAAATTTCTAAACATTGACTATGATAATCATGTGGACGACAACTAGATAGTCTGCACCTATTAACATCAACCGTCAAGGTAGACTGTGGCTGAGAATACATAACACATGTCCCAGTCAACTCAGTTGATGAATATTTACCACTTCATCAATCGATTTCCCATATTTACTTAGTACACTATTCTTAACCCACTCATTGTAATAGGTACTACAATAATTAAATGCTATAGTAATTTTATTCGGTACTGGATTCATACATTATTGCGAACATCGGTACTAAAGTCCCAGTACACCCTAGCGAAAAGTCAGAAATAAGGACGAAATACGTTCCCTTAATTATGTTGTTTACTCCTAGTGACTTGTTTATTTGCCATCCATTAACAATAAAGATTTGTATTTATTTAGTTCGTTTAGCTTTAAAAGTGTTTACTCGACTGAAATTCAGAGTGTTTCGGAGTTTCGCAAACATTATTACTGTATTTATTAGTTATGAGAGTTTCTACCACAAATGATCTTTGTGGGTTCTGTTTGTTTGTCGAACGGAGGGGGGCTAAAGTGTTTTGTCAGATCACACTAGGCAGTCGATGTGTACCAATAAAAGTCCTATCTTAACATAGATGATGAGCTGAATTATGTTGATTAAATTGAAGTATGTACATTAAACTAATTAATTCGACGTTGTGGTGGGGTTTCTTTTTAAAGTCCAAATGAATGCTTTAAACAATATCAACAATAAATGGTTACTTTTAAGCAATTTATCTTGTCGAATAATGTGCGTTTAGTATAGAAACTTACTTACTTACGCCTGTTACCCCTCCTCGAGGAGCATAGAACGCCCACCAACATTCTTTATCCAACTCTGTCCTGAGTAATCCTTTCCATTTGTTTCCAGGTACTATTCATCCGTCTCATGTCCGCTTAAAATGTCCTATCCACTTCCAACGTCTTTTCCTGATTTCCCCTTCAATTGGAAGTTGGTTTGTTCTCTGTCACAGTAGCCTGTTGCTGATGGTATTCGACTAACGAAAATTAAGTATCTTGAGTAAATAACTGTTTATAGATACTTGCACCCTTTTTGATTATAGTTGTAGTAGTTCTCCGAGTTTCAGCTCCGTACATTAGGACAGCCTTGACGTTCGTGTTAAAGATTCTGACTTTGATATTGGTTTACAGTTGTGTTGAGTTCCATATGTTCTTCAATTGTAGGAATGTGTTGCTACCTCAAATGAAATCTTGAAGAAGTAGGTAGGTTATAGGAACATACTACTAAAGAGGCTAAAACGAACACAAAACAGATTTGCACCAACCTCTAGTTTCCAATAGTTCTCTAGCTTAAGTGAATTAAGGCAATATCAAGGCAGTACGCACAGAATGCACATATGCCAATAAGAGACTGATCAATTGCAGTCTCAATCATCAATTGGAAAATTCAAGTAAACAATACTGAGCGAATTCAAACTTCACCCCATTGCACAAGCAGTTGGTTATCAGGACTCAGTAGCTAAGTGGATAACGCGATGGCGTTTGAAGCGAACGGTACTAGGTTCGAGTCCTAGGGTGGACATAAACTCTAAGATGCAGGTATATCCAGCTGACAAGTCCGAAATAGGATGAAACTCGCGTCCTGGATTCCATTGCTAGCCACCGTCCATCTTTGCTCATAATCATCTTATCAGTTTTAAATAAAAATTTTACCCAATTAAATCAAATTTCACAGGTGAATCTCTTCAGAAATCTCCATCGAAATATACCAGCTCACAAGATGAAAGTAATAAAGTTCAATCAACTGTTAATGAAAAATGTTCAATAAAGATTGATCATTCAGATGATGAAATAAAAGCTGATGAAGTAAGTAAATTTTTAGGAAAACTTTTTGTTTTATTTGTACTCGTTTTCTTTTGATTTCTTACTTCATTAGATAAAAATGAAATATATTTTTTTGAACAAAACAATCATTAAAATGTTTTGTCTTTAAATTAGGCATATAATTAATTAGTAATAACTTGATGAAAGAGATAATTGTTGGACCATGACCATATCATCCGTGAAATAGTTACTAACCGATGGCATTAAAAGATGGTTAAACAATATTTTGAATTGATCGACTTTAGATATGTAGGATATTGAATGTTAGGTTAGTGATCTAAAGGTTAAACTGTCACTAAAAGATCTAAAAGTCTCGATTTCGATCCTCAATGGATTCATGGTTGTCCATTGCCGAAGAACAATACTAAAATTCAGTGGTCCCTGTTTTTTAATGGTTATTTAACTAAGATTAATCTGTAATATAATATACACAGTTTCAAAATCTCTCTCCAAACCATTGTTTGGTCTAGTGTTGTTACTACGATACCACTCGTTAAGAGGTATTTATTACTTTCATGTTTATTGCTCAGTTGATGTATTTTAATTGCTTGATAGTTGGAGGTAGTCAACAAGGAATCCTATTTGACTTAGATTTTGTGTCAGTTGATACTTGTGAGCAATTTACAGCAGGAATCTACAAGAAATGGATACTCCATGTCTCATTCGAAGCCGAATCATCCAACTTCACAATCTGAGATGTCATCACTGACCATTTAGTCCCACAATTGACCTTCTATTTAACTAGGGTATTCATATAAATTGTTCACTTAATAGTGATCAGTGTCATTTATGTCTAATCCTTAATACCAATCGAATCCAATTAGTCAAGTTCCGATGTCGCCACTAGTCTATGTGACTCTATGTCAAGTAAATTATATTTTGATTTAAAGCTGTTGGTTGTTTTCAATTTAATACATATTTGTTGCTTAAATCTTGTTTATACATTACGTAGTAAGAAGAAATTGATTAATTAGTAACGACCAATTTGTAAGAGATTCAAGAAGTGATATTTAATATAACATTTATCATCGTTAAAGTAACACTTGAATGTAGTCAATTAAGGTCATTTTCATCTACAGTTGTTTATATAAATGAGTGCTGTCAGTGTTATTTTCCCTACATTTTAGATCATCATGATTTTTAATTTTTCTTTAAGGAAACAATCCGAATTTCATTTGCTCAACAAACAAAGTAACAACACGCAAACTATGAAATATTTATTTACTTAAACAGATAAACATTGGTACAAGGAGGCACCAAATAAATATGTGCAACATAAATCATTCGATTTGTGCGAGGGCTAGAATACTACCCGAGTGCCCAAACCAAACCAGGTGAATTTCTTAGGGGGCCACTCCCCGGGCCTTTGACCTAGGGGTCTAACCCACAAGACAGTGGAGCAACGTCAGAAGATGCAGTCTCATGGTAGCCCATGACCAACAGTAGAATCATACGCTTTTTGTTTCTTTAGGATCCCGGGGCCGATGTGCACGATTGGTTTTCCAACTCCCCTGGGTGGATCCTCTATATCCATCAACCCGGTTAAAGAGTCGGACATGCAATTTTTGTCTCCTAAATTTGGTAAACAATACCCCTACTGCGAGAAGGCAGTGAAAAGGACCTCCCTGGTAGTGACTGTTTACTCGTGTCCATGTGAGAGCATTTCGAGAGGGAGAGCGGACTCTCGTCACCTTCGGCCATACCAGTGTATTTGGAGACAAGATTACAGAATAGTACTTAGTTATTTGGATTTTTTATAGATAAGTTTAGTGTAACTGATAAGGTTCGACTACATTGGGAGTGAGGTAGTCAGTCATTCACTAAATACATTTTTGAAATAGTTATACAATATCGTGAAAAGGACTGAAGTAAATGATGTTAATCAATGGATTTCAACTCGAAAGCTTAACAGTGATATATATATATATATATATATATATATATATATATATATATATATATATATAATTTCTAGAAACATCATCAATAATAAATGCTCAAGAATTCTTCAAGACAACACTAATTTGCAATATAAAAAAAGAAAAAAAACACTCTTTACACAAAAACAACAATCATAAACGTAACAACCATCCATTACTTCAAGCTTTTCCATGATGGTCTAACTTCAATTAACTCATGATCTCAACTATTAAAATGATAAATAAGTTTTTTTTGATATAAAAGAACTAACAGATTTTATTGGGTGTTTTTTTCTTTCCATTTCCAAAGTCATCCATATCTCATGAAACTCAAACATCTTCATTAAAATGGAATTTAATTTCACCGGTACATGTGATCGATGCAATATATAAATTTACTGAAGATATGCATAGATGTAAACATCCGAAGGATAAAAATAACGTCGATAATCAAAATGATGGTGATAATGATGATGATGATGATGATGGTGGTAGTGGTGGTGATGATGATAATAATAAGAACAATAAAAGTACAAAATCTACAGAAACTTGTATTCAATTAAATCATAAATTCAAAAATAATTTACCATTAATTACAATGAAAAATTTATCATCATTAAATAATATTGAAATCAATAAAAAACCATTTAATTTTAATAAAATTAATATATTTGATGATTATAGAATTCGTAATGATTCAAATGATTTAATCTATTGGAATAAATATAAGTAAGTGAGATAGCTGGGACATATGTTACGTATGCCCAACCACCAACTACCTCGACATGTGATGTTTTATGGTGTAGGTTGGAAGAAAGGTAGGGGCGACCAAACCAAATTGTGGCATAAATCTATGAAGTCACTGATAAGTGGTAGGTGTAGACTACCTGGTTTGAATCCGCGAGATGATAGGAACCGATGGTTAGAGACCTTGAATGACATGGCTCAAAATGGTTTGCAATGACGCAGGTGCATCCACTCTTTGTGTTCTCCAAAATTCTAATCTTCTGAATGCCTCATGTCCATTTCTTTTCTTTTTCTCTTTCCAAATTTATTTCACTGGATTATACTCCTAGAATAACATCTTCGAACCCTAATATTTCCGATTACTGATTATACTTTTACTACTTTTACCACTACGGGATTTGAATAGACAATTGTATCTGTGTGCTAATGTGGTATGGCAACTCGAACTGATGTACGTACATACGAATTTATACTTTGTTACTGACTGACTTTTAGTTGATATGAATAAATAAATATCTTTGTAGATATCCTAATGAGTAGAAAAATTAAATTTTTTTTAACGTTTCGTGACTTAGTGTAAGCCACGTCTTCAGAGAATATATAAATAATTGAATCAATATTAATCTAAGTGAGATTATCATTGAAGATTTGGAAGCACTGGACGACTGATTCACCTTAGTGTCGGATTTTTCAGCAGCGTGTATCCATGATTCTGTACGTGGGACTCTAAATCAGAATATTCGGCTTCGCGCGCCCACGCGAATGATTAACCTCTAGACCACTGAACCAGGATTCAACAGTGTTTGGTTTTCTTATGTGGAATCGTGGATGTGCATTGTTGAGGAGTCTCATACTAGAACAAAATGACCATCTAGTGCCTTTAGGTTCATGATCTTAATGAAATTCAACAATCTCTACAATATCATACTGAAAATAATTGAAATTTCTTTAATCACTAACTTTCTAATCAGAAAACGAAAATGTTTAACCGATTCAAACTTAAAAATCTCAGATGATTATTCATTTAGTGGAACTAATAGTGTAAAAGTGAAAATTGTAAATGATGCTTAAATTGTCGTATTTTCTATGAACCATTTCTAAGCTTTTGTTTAATCCATAAATTTTTACCATATGTATTATGGTTTCAAATTTATTATTAATTATTTACTCCCCAATTTCTCTGTTCTTGTATCACTTGTAACCGAGTTATCTACACACCATAATAATTGAATTGTTCTAACAATTGAGAGCAGTAGAAAACGTTTTTTCTATATCTTCGTTTTCGTGTTGACCAATGGGTTAAAATAATCTGGAGGAGCAACAAACGTTAAAATCGCGGTTGTTGTTTATCGGTCGTTATGTCGATCGGTGAATGGAAGGTCACTAGTCCTGCTGGCAATACAGATGAATCGATCGATAATCGAAATAGAGAGTGTGTGTGTGTGAGAGTGATCATAGAACCACTGTCTCAATCAGACGGTACTCGATACAACACAACCTAGCAATCTGTTTTTTTTCCCAAAATAACGATCATTTATATCAAATATAAAATCATAACGCGCCATAAATAATAAACATTAATCTGTACAAAACATCAGGTCATTTGTGGTACAAAAACTGAGTAACAAGTATACAAGTAATTAAATATAATTGATGAATTTTAAATGATATATCGATAGTCAGTAAATTAAATTAGCGCTTAAGTATTGGACAATAATAATAGCTTAGTCTTTACTCAAAAAAGATTATCGATAATGAATCCATGGGGAATATATTTCAAATTATCTCCTTTTTTGGTTCATTTGCCCGTTTCTGACAGTTGTCTTCTCGTAAAACTTTCTTGTTTGACGTCTATGAGGTAATCAGAAACAATGATTACTGAGTTTAGATGGTAAAGTTTAAAATCGATTGGAGCAGTGCGAATCTGTTAGTTAGTCATAAACGCAAAAATAATAATGGATTTCGATAATGTAATAAGAAGACGAAGATTATCACAACTATGTGATGATATATATTAGCGCAATACATTTCGAACAATCTGATCACACATATACTTGTTCAGAACCTTGATAAATGAAAATACAAGGTCAACTAGACTGGAAATGGGGTATTCAAAAACAGTTTGTTCTCATCTTAAACCTACCCTGGTAATATTGACTTATTATCCAAAGTGATCAGGTTTCAAATTGTGTTCACATTATTATTACTCGTATTATTATCCTTGTTTCCTCTTATCGCGTTTCCAGTCTAGTTGACCCTTTATTTTTATATATCAATGTTCTTAACAAGTATATGTATGATCAGATTGTTCGAAATGTATTGCGGACTTGTGGAGATTGTAGTAATTTTAATAGTTGAATTCATCAGTCGATGTAAGTTAGACCACGATTGAAAAAATTGGATCACTGGACGGTCGTTTTGTCCTGGTGTGGGACTCCTCAGAAGTACGCATCCGCGATCCCTCACGCTGGACTCGAACCCGGGCGTGCGAACGCTTAACCTCTAGACCACTGGACCGATATCCAAAGGCATTAATGTTCGACTTCAATTGATCCATGATCTTGCATCCAGTGCTTCCAGGTTTTCAATCGTGGTGTAGCTTACATCGACTTCTGAATTCAACCATTCTAAAATTATAAATGAAAAATATCCTTTTTAATACATGTTAACAATATTCTTTTCATTCTTACTATATATATATATATATATATATATATATATATGCTTATATAGACAGAACATAGTCACTGAAGAATGGGAAGATATGTGGAATAATTTATATCTAGCTTTAGAAAAATATTACAATGTACTGAAACATCGAGCCAAATTAATACATGATACAGATGGTTTAAGAAAACAAAATGCTGAACTACGACATTTATTACAACAATATATGAATTCCAAGGTAAGAAATATGTGTTGATTATTTTTTAAAGAAAATCAGTAGAACCAGTAATTTCATTATTTAAACTTTGTACCAAGAACATTTTATCGTAAATTAATCATAGATCCTAGAAACTCCATGCTTGTATTTGAAGTTATGAGAGTAGAATATAGGAAATTCATGAGAATGATAGTACAGTGAAATTAATCAACAGTAAAACTACCTTGAGTGGTATCGGTTGGAATTTTGTGCATTTTCTAATGAAGATAAATGTCATTTGAGTAGATACAAAGAATGATATGTTAAATTATAGTTTAATTCAACAATCAAGTGAGGATTTGTACATTAAACAACATGTTATATTTAAAATATATATGTTCCGCGAAACTTTATGTTCCTACTCAAAACCGTTGTTAATTAGTTAAGTTCACTGAACAAGTATTTAAAATACTGAGCAATAATAATATAAATCGATTAGAATCTTCAAAGAACAACCTTCAGTGTTCAAAGTATTGAAGAGTACAAGAATACCCATCGTTAAAGTTTTTAGAAGCCCGGAAAACTCAAGGAAATTTGTAATTATTATACAATTAAACTAATTTGATAGTCTATACACTAGGCAGGCTGATCATTGTTTGAAAACTAATAGGATAGATGATAACCTGCTTCTCTAGTCGCTTGATTTAGCTGATGAAAAATTTGCATCCCTTCTCACTGTTTCAAAATAAATTGATGAATGGAAAAGCCACTTTTTGGGGGTATTCGAAATGTTGATATAATTACTTGTAAATAATAATATAGTCTAGAAAACTACAAGAAAGCACTGAATATATTACTGCTATGTCCAACAACCCACGACATTAATCAACCAATACGCAGCAAGGATGCTGAAGACTGATACTCTTTGTTTGACAGTTGGCCCAATAATAAATAGCATGAAACGAAGCGGAAAAACATAAGATCAATGATCGTCAGTTCGAGATCGTTATTATATTTTAGACATTCATTTATATGCACATAAGACCAGACCACGCAGAAAACCAATTGTATAATAGTATTACTTACTTACTTACGCCTGTTACTCCTAATGGAGCATAGGCCGCCGACCGGCATTCTACAACCCACTCTGTCCTCCGCTTTCTTTTCTAGTTCCATTCAATTCTTTTTCATTTTCCTCATGTCTATCTCCATTTCTCGACGTAATGTGTTCTTTGGTCTTCCTCTCCTCCTTTGATCTTCAGGATTCCATATGAGGGCTTGTCTTTGACTCAATTGGGTGCTTTCTTCAATGTGTGTCCTATCCACTTCCAACGCTTCTTCCTGATTTCTTCCTCCACTGGGATCTGGTTTGCTCTCTCCCACAGTTCGTTGTTGCTAATAGTGTCCGGCCAACGGATCCGAAGTATTTTGTATAGACAACTGTTAATAAGCACCTGTATCTTCTGGATGATGGCTTTTGTAGTTCTCCAGGTTTCTGCCCCATACAGTAGAATTGTCTTGACATTTGTATTGAAAATTCTATCTTTCGTGTTGGTTGGCAGTTGTTTTGAGTTCCAGATGTCCTTCAGTTGTTAATATGCTGCTCTTGCTTTACCGATCCACGCTTTCACATCTGCATCAGATCCACCGTGTTCATCAATGATGCTGCCCAAATATGTAAAGGTTTTTACACGGTATAATGAATTAAAGATGTGAAAAACGTAATACTGGGTACACAAATAATCGGCTCTAGTTTACAAGTGTGAAATGCTGTAAGAAAATTATAAAGTAAAAATGCGATCGATATATGTATAGTCGTAAAAACAATAGCTCTGAAAGTTTTTACCTCATAGTTAAATCGTCTCTTACTACAACTGCGTATATTCAATTACTGTCCAACCGAATTTGTATTAGTCGGTAATGGATGAGATAGTTGCAAAAAGAAGAAGAAGATTAGAAGCAATTTAATCAATACATGGAATCAATCCAGTCTATTTGTTTCTTTACAATTCATGTAACGGTTATTATTGTCATCTGGTTGATTTTATCTCATTGTGCTATGATAACATTTATGTATTTAAATCAATGTAGAATAACTGATTAAGGAATCAATGATTTCTATCCATTGAACTCATTCACTATTTAGATTTTTATTTGTATCAGAAGAGGTTTTGTGAAGATTGTAGTAATTTCAATAGTTGAGATCATGAGTCAATTGAAGCTAGACCACCATGGAAAACCTGGAAGCACTGGACGGCTGTTTCGTCCTATTGTGGGACTCCTCAGCAGTGCGCATCCACGACCCCACCTCGTGGGATTCGAACCCGGGACCTATCAGTCTCGCGTCAAGTGTTTAACCAACTAGACCACTGAGCCGGCATCCAACGGTGTCAATGTCTAACTTCGACTAATCCACGAAATTGAGCGACACATTCACCACTGTCATCAGTGAGTTACTACCTCACAACTGACCCGCGGGGCGGGGTCGTGGATGCATACTACCGAGGAGTCCCACAATAGGACGAAATGGCCGTCCAGTGCTTCCAGGTTTTCCATGGTGGTCTAGCTTCAATTGACTCATGATCTCAACTATTGAAACTTTTATTTATTATTAACAACAAACTCATTGTACTTAAATTCATGTTTACTATTCTATTCTTTATTAAACAGGTTAATTATGAATTACAAATTCCACCATCAAAAATTATGTCATTTATTTGAAACTGGTATCTATTTGTGTATGTGTTTGTGTGTGTGCGTATGTATCGTATAACAATACGGATTTATCATTTTGGTTTCTTTAAATGGAAGTATTGAATAAGTAAATAAACTATTTCATAAATATGAATCCATTTTCTTTTTCGATGATTTCATTTAGTTAAACTGTATAATTTTATTTATAGTTAATCTTATAGAGGAAAACCCTTCTAAAATGAATTTACCATAATTTTACTTTTTTTCCCCTCATATTATCAAGTGTATTTGAGAAATAGAAATTTAAAAAGTGCCATAATTCTAGATAATAATAATCATCATTATAAGTGTACTCACTCTGTTCAGTTTATTTCCAAATGAAGCATTGAAACATTGAATTTTTATTAGGCATAATTGATTTATCTAAGTGTATTCAAGATAAACAGAAACATTGTAACTTATTATACTCATATTGTTATTAATGATATCGGTAATACAGAAATTATTCTTTTTTTTAGTGTTTCATTTCATGTATTTACTTTTATTGGTTTCATTAAATGTAAAATATAAAATGTATAAAAAGTTATATGAAGTGTTATCTAGATTGAATGCTAGATTTGGCTCCTAAGCTCTGCTATAGTAACCTCGAAACATGACGACAACGACTCTAATCGAAAATACACTCATTTATATATTGATTCATAGATTCATTTTTTGATTAATAATTAGAATGAAATCACATATATCAAAAATATTTACAATTATAACAAATCATATGCTGAGTATCATTCATGTTAACTTAATACAAGAATATCATAAGTTATACAGAATAAAATGTTATACAAGAGAACGAAACAAGTACTATATTACACTGAATTAAAACGGAATTAATGTTGAACAAAAATCATAATGAGTAAATCATTTGAATTTTGAGTTTTCTTCCCACCATATCAACATAAAAATATTAGCGATCAATCGTACATATATTTGATTGATCAGCCCTAATTCCAATTACTTTCAATGAGAGATTTTGAGTAATACTCTCTCTTTTCGATCTAATTTGTAAAGTTCTATACATTTCAACTCTTGTTGGTGGAATAGCAGGCTCATATAGTGAACTAATCCATCTATGAATTAATCAGGTAAGTAAAAAGAAGTAGGGGAAGCAAGTAAGTAAGTAACCTTACAACTAATGGATCACCAAGTAATGATTACTGTTATGTTTGTTTAGTCTTAATGCCGAACTGACTCTATTGATCAATCTGATCACTAACTTGAGTAACTCGACATTGCCTGCCTTATGCTGAGATGTTAAGTGGCTGAAAATAATTCATAGTAAGATATTTTTGGTATAATAAAATGACAGTTTCCCTCTCTTGAAATAAATGGAACAAAATTCGGATAACAAACTTTACAGCTGTAGTTAGTTAAATAGCTAGAATGATCTTTGAAACCTCGCTTTTAGAAAACAATTAATGCTGTTGGAATAAACATCTTTTTACTCATTTAAGTAACATAAGTTCAGTTAACAGAATGAATTAATCTCTGTTACACAAATTCCTGCTCTAGTTTGAAAATGAATTGTTTTGTGACATAATACCTTCATTTTTAGTATTATGTCTAAAGATGAAAATTTATTCGCACTTTCGAAGCATTCAGTCATCTTGGTGGTAATCGTTTGCCTTTCACTATTTCCTAGGTACCTGATATAGTTTGTTACACCAATATTTCCTCTAAACAGTATGTTGAGGCTAATTAGATTGGGTTCCTTTGCCTTAATATCATCTACGTTTTTTTAAGATATGTGGTTCTTCAAACAGACAAAAGTCAATGAATAATTAATCTCATAGAACTTATGATGTAAACAATCTGGAGAACTGCTATTTAAATAGGAAATCGCACTAAATCTATGAAACTACGAATGTTCCTTTTATCAGAAGAAATAGATGAGGATAAAATGGCACAAACATAGTAAACTGCTTTTATTGTGAATTCTGAAAACTTCATTATCAGGGAAGACACTAGGCATGATTAAACTCCTGCCTAGTTATGAGCATAGGTAGCGCATCAGTGAAATTAATTTTAACGGTTATGTTTAAATTTGGTGTCATGAATGCTGGTTACGAAGTTAGTGCAGATCAGGATCAGGAGTTACTGTATTGCTTCGCTCTCAAGAAGGCCTATGTCAACTAAGTAGCTACACGATTCTGTTATACGGTATAGAAACCTATAATATGTCCTACGATCGAGCTGAGCCTATCTTTAAATAGTGTTATGCTAAACTTTAGCAGTAACAGACTATGAAACTTCCTCAAACTGATCAGATGATATCAATCAACATTAAAGATGTGACGCTTGAGATTTAATGGCTATTTTGAAAATATCGGGTTTCTACTTGTAATATCACTAACTCATTAGCCCATTAACTGCCTGTCGTAGTTCAGCGGAAACTAGACGAAAGCGTGACGAAGGAAAAAGATTAGGAATCTATACCTTTAAAATGGTCTCAACCAGTTAAGAAGGGATAGTTGCGAGAATTAAACACAAGATCGGGACAGTAAAAGCATTTAGTCAAGCGCATTTAGCTTTTTTCTGAAAACCTTTCCGAAAACATCGACAACAGTCAAATAAATGAGGAAACTCAATCTTCCATGCTTCAAAACGAGAGCAAAAGATGAGGACATTAATGATCAATACGTCGTCCAAACTGTAAGGCATATTTCTTATGATGATAGAACCATCCACCTCGTTAATAGTTAAATCTTCTAAGACCCATCTGCAATATATGAACGTTCAGTAATCAGTTACACATTATTCAACTGAGATGATAATGAAAAACTGTCCAAACTTGCTAACGTATTGTGAGTAGTTTTCAAGTCCTGATGAGATATGAGTTCACTGGGGTAAATAATAACCAAACAAACAACCAAATTTACCTCACTACTCATTCATTAGGCCCCGCTGATAATGCGGAAGTGAACATCGGGAATTTAGTCCTTATGGTAATACTAAAGAACAACATAATAAAATATAAGAAGTAGTCTTGGAAGCTACAGCTCCCAATTTTGGGCTTTTTTGTAGGGTTAGACGTTGTATGTTACTGGAAAATATATTTCAGATGTTTTCTCTAAAGGACAAGATTTGATAACATGTAAGGAAGGATTTGTATCAAAATGCACAATCTGTCTGTATGCAATATCCGAGAATAGTCTAAATAGATTTCCTTATCGAAACAATCACCTATGATCCAGGTTTTGAAGGAGCTTAAGAATGTCAAAAGTTTTCGGACTTTGAAAACATCTTACCCAGTGAAATCAGAAGTCAGAAGCGTAGAGTTTCGAATGTATAATTGGTAGGCTATCAACAAATCGAGAAGTAACTGATCTAATCTGACTACCGGTTGTAGGAGAAGCTGAGCACAGAGTTCCCACTCGTCATCTGGTGAGGATGCGTGACCGAGCGCCTTCAGCTCATTAAAAATAATGTGGTCAGCATCAAATGTCGAAGACTTACAGGACTATTGGCTTTGGAGATCTATTTAATGCTACAAGTTCACCAAATTTAGTTAACTATTTAATACCAGTTTTTGTGTTTAACACTAACATTATAAATATGAGTTTATTTGTTGGCCTACTTTCTTGAGCTTTAAATTTCGAACTCTTCCTAATAGAATTTCGCATACATTATGGCGTTTGACAACGTACTGTTAAATATGTTGGAGATGATAGGTGTTTGCGTCGTCGAGTAGAGAGATGCCAAATATATTCAGTTTGACAACAGTTTTGTCTGTAACACCAACCGACCCAGTCAAATCAGAGGTTGTGGATGATTGGGCTTGATGATATATGTCTAGAAGATTGTCGACACTTTGAGTAAAGTTTCAAGTAAACTGGCTGGTAGTTGCAAAAAATGCTAAGCGCGGCATCCCTACTCGTGATCTGGTGAAGATACGTGACCGAGCGCATTCCGATATGATGTATCCAACAAAACCTAAGGGGTTGTCAGCAATGTCGAAAACTTTCAGGACTACTTATTTTGCTGATTTATTTACCGTAACGGGTTTTTTCATTAATCTAAGTAACATTTCAGTTTCTACTCTTTGTGAAACAATATTGTTTGTTTTATGGAGGACAATAAAGGATTTATGTATTGTTCAGATATCAAGTTCATACTAAGAACAAATTTGAGCAGTCCAAGTCATTTTCCACCTAAGGCTTGGGAGTGAAACTTCATTATATCCTCTGGTTAGTTAAGTGATGAACAATGGAAAAAAGATACTCCTGTTATTATATATACAGTGGTCGGCCCTAAATTGTCTCCTAATTCCGAAGGTATTAAATACTCCAAGTGAAATTTGAACCCATTTAAGCTCGGCGTTGTTTTTTGTCTCACAGTTATTGTGAGCGGGCAGTTTGATCGTCCACGCTTTTCGGCGCCGTTTAATCTTAGGGATAATGGTGAAGTACTCGTGGGAACCCAAGGATGAAGATGAAAGTAAAACTTGCAAAGCAAGAATCCCGTATTTAAGGACTCATTTCAAAAACATGCATGAGTGTGCTTGTGCAGTAAAGGTAACTAAAAACACATTTATTCATTAACTTTTAAGGGGATGACTCTCCAGCGAGCTCAAACTTACTTGAAAAATGTCATTGAGAAGAAAGAGATTATTCCTTTCCGACGATTCAATGGTGGCGTTGGTCGTCATGCTCAGGCAAAAGTCTGGAAAACAACTCAGGGTAGATGGCCTAAGAAGTCTGCTCAGATGCTTCTTCAGCTTCTGCACAATGCATTCAGCAATGGTGTATACAAAGATATAAAAGGAGGAGAAGCCAGTCGTTTGTATATCAAACACATTCAGGTAACATCCCTATTTTCTTATGACTCGGCTAGGTAAACCAAGCACCTAAAATGCGACGTCGTACTTATCGTGCCCATGGTCGTATTAATCCTTACATGTGCTCACCATGCCATGTAGAAGTCATACTTGCTACAAAAGATGATATTGTCCCTAAGGTCCCTGCAGCTGCACCACAGTTAGTAAAGAAAAAGGAATCTAAGAAAAAGATGAAAAAGCAACTAATGAAGGAGAGTGCTGGTTTTTAATTATCTTAATATACATGATTGGATAATTCAACAATTTCTGGTATTCTTGACTCATGAGGTAAACTATATCAATAGGAAATAGGAATCTTACCAGTGCGTAATAAGTTTTCATATTAACTGTTTCTACTTTGCGAGCAAAGCTGTTGTCACGTACTGTAACGTAAAAATGGTGAATTTATTACAATCTTTCTACTGTCACTTCATATTGCTTTGGTTATATGTTCCTGTTTTTAGTTACTTATTGGTATTTAGTCATATATCTTATATCCCGGATCAGGTTAAATTATGTATTTACTCATAGCTAACTACAACGTTTGCATGTAGCTGGTTACTAAGATATTATAAAAGTCCTGTGTTGCCACGGTCATAAATTGTCACATGATTCTTTATCAACTAACGAAGTCTTTAGGTCCTACATTTGGCTAGTTGTGTGTCTAGCTGTTCTTGCTCGTCCAACCTCCAGTGGTTTGGTATTTATCCTTCCTGAATGTGACTTAATAATTACAAAGGTCCACGCAACCTGACACCCACGTTGCAAAATTTGTAATTGCTTCTTTGGGTGTAAGTTGTCTGGGACTACCCAACAGTATTGGTTAAATCTAGTCCCACATAAATACGTGTATATACCCCGGGAGTTGTTGTTTTTTAAGGTGCCGGGGAAGTAGAAATTTTAGTTCATACAACAAAGCCGTTATTGAAAATGAGTTATTATCCAAAGTTAGAATGGTAGCTTTTGTCGGAAAACTGTGACTATGTGATATACAAGTATTTACTCACTACTTTCTGATCAACATGAAGAGTTACGGGTTTTGTTTCGTAATAAGACATTAAACGACTGCAAGATTATCAAGCTTCATTTCATATAAACTTTATTGACGCACCGTGTAAAGTTAGTAAATCTTACTCAAATATCTGTGTGGTGATAAACGATACTACTGTCCTTGTCTTACATACCACGGATTAGTTTCGGATGCTGTCTCATGGTTAGATAGCTATAAAAAACGATTATCAAATATTTCTGAGTTTCAGTTATAATCCAGTCAGTAGTTTTCTCGGGTAACGGAGATAAATGAAGTAAAGGCGAGTTGGCTTTATGGTAAACAGTGGTCGTAAATTAATCTTATTTATTTTGCTGTACTATCTACTGGAAAATCCCTGCTCACTAACACGAATGCTAAGCTTTGATACTGTGTCTATTGTGAGCCAGTGTTTGACTAAGTCTCTGTCTATATAGTGATTTGTGAAATTAGTTAGAAATCGTCAATGGTTCTTATCTGTGTGATCGACCAGACGTATATACTCTATCAAATGATATGCAACTCATTGTCAGCTGCTTAGGTGTCAGAATATATAGTTCCCTTAAAAATACTATTTGGTTTGCTCAAAGGTCAATTAGTTTACATTGTGCTGGTAATACACTTTTGTCTAGTTGCTTGCTCCAGGTACTAATCCATAGGTATACTCACGAGATTAACAGTCTTGAAATTATTATGATGGACACTTTAAGTGTTTTATTTTCAAGGTATTTCACTTTCCTGCTAATACTCAAGTTTCAGAATACATAGAATCTTCAGGAATTGTTATAGAAGTGCTTAGTATGATCTATTCAAGTATTATATCAATCTAATTAACATGTGAACCCTCTTTGATTTTAAGCGCTTAATCCCAAACGAAACAACTCATTTATTACATGTAGCATAAATTGGAGATGCTTTTGAAAAGTTGTTAACTTATTGTCCTCAATACAACTTAAACCAAGTGCTCATTAGACTCATTTGGAATAGGCAAGAGACTAGTTGTAACTGAGAAACTAAATACCTTAAAATAGCGTTTTCATGCAGCAAAAATACCCCATCACTCGTTCCATCAGGAATTTTACTGGTGTATTGGAATTAATGAATAGAGATGTGGCTCTGTGTTGAGTTGGAAGTGATGCCAAACCAAACGAAGGTCTTTAATTAAGTCTCACGGGTTAGCGTAAACTTTAATTTTTATTACGACTACGGAATTCCACGTACGTTTTCTATGTACTATGTTGGTTTCATATTTAACCTTAATGAACGTGCTTTCGCATAACCTTTACATCCTAGAAATCAAGTACCTCCTTAGAGTTTAGGGATACGGTTGCTATGAAACAAGCAGTTGTCGAACAAATAAATTAATTCAGTATTAGGTAGAAATGAGGTGAGTTTAAGTAAAATTGTGAGCATTTAATAGATAGGATTTTCATTCATGGTAAGAGATAAATAATGTGTTCGGTGTCAATTTCGAACGACATGATCTATTCAAAGACATTAATGAAGAGTCTTAAAAGTTTCATAAATCATTTAAACTACTATCTTTCAGGGGTCGATATCAATTTAGTATGAATAACTTCAGAGTGTAATAAACAATATTGGTTTTTGGTGGCTTGATGTCTTAACATAAGTTCTTTAGTATGTCATGTTTCTGAATTAAGTTAACCGAAAGTCTAATTGGTTTTTTTTCCATCAAACTGCAAATCTTTTTTGTTCGCAAAAGCTTATTACAAGGCTTTTTGTACTAAAACTGGTGTTTAGTAGTGTCCACCGAACTACTACTAACCTGAGTGAAAATCTAGCTTAAAATTTCCAGTCAATTTAGTTACCGATCTTAAAACTCGTTGCAAATCGGGCGACCATTTCAGGCTTCTTGACTGGCTTCTCAATCGATTTTCCATCAAACTGGTTAGGTGGGATGAGGATTTGTTTCCGACTCGTTAGTGTCTTTCACCAAGTTAGTCACCATATCATTTCTTAAACTAAGTTCATCAAAGTGCTCCCAATTCAGTGCCGTTTAAAGTTAATGCTTTTCAGAAGCGGTTAGTGATCGCAACGACATCTCAACAGACAATTGTCATATATATTACTGGTAGTTTAGTTAATCGAATTCTGATTAATCTTAGTTAGTGCTTAATTGGTAAATTTAGGAGTAATGTAGGGTACTGGTAATTAGAGTTATGGGAGAAGTAAGGACCTACTCCACCTGTAGCTCTCCTAGAGTTACTGCCTGTCTCAAGCCCGGGTAAAGGAGGATGGTTGGACATTGGGTCGGCAACCCCATCCTGTAGAGAAAAATCTTTCTAAAAAACGCCAACCAAACTAAACCATTTAAACTCTGCCCTGGGAGTTGAGGGAAAAATTATGACGCCTCAGAATGAAAGCCGAGATTCATCGCAAGTCACGATGGCTATACTCTTTCTAACAACCAGAGCAACAATTTTTATAGGTACATGGAGCGTCCAGACAATGTAGGAGACCGGGAAGACTAGTCAAATAGCAACGGAAATGAGGAGATACAACTTGGCAGTACTCGGAATCAGTGAAACCCAATTAGAATTTTTCTACCGTACTTTTTTAAGAAGGTCCTAACAATTGCTTAATTATTAAGTAGTCACCAATGTCATGTCCTTCCTCAGTACTGGCCGATTTCTATCGACAAGATTGAAATTTAGCCACTGGTCCAAGTGACTCCATTTCGCGTACACTGCTGAGATGTAAGGTGGTGGTCGGTGGTAGTTGACAAGAAACCCTGGACCTAAATTTCGTGCTGTTTAGCATTTGTTAATACGGTGCACCTATAGTTTTGAAGGAACTGGTGCTACCTGTGAAATATGGGCCTGTATCATTGTTTCAAATTTTGAGGTGAGTTATCCAGGTCACGTTCCGGATCTTGCTGATGAGTGCCAGCTGTCACATAACCAGGGTTTCTTGTCGACTACTTACAACTACCTAACATTGAGGAAAGCACCCAACTGCGTCACAAGACAAGCCCTCACATGGAATCCTCAAGGTCAAAGGAAAAGAGGAAGGCCAAAGAACACATTACGTCGAGAAATGGAGATAGACATGAGAAAAATGAACAAGAATTGGAAGGAACTAGAAAAGAAGGCCCAGGACAGAGTGGGTTGGAGAATGCTGGTCGGCGGCCTATGCTCCATTGGGAGTAACAGGCGTAAGTAAGTAAGTAACATTGAACGGCTTTTACTAAAACTGTGCAAAGACTACTTTATTTCATAAAGATTAATCGCGAATTTCTCCTGATATGGTGTTGTGACTTCTAGCCGTGCTAATTATCATGTGACTTATTCACCAATCAGAATACGACAATCTTAGCACTGTGCCAAACTTATCGACCGGTATGAGTAGCCTAGTGTTCTTATTGGTCCTTTCTCCTCCTAGCCCCGCCAGTTGAGTCCAGAACACCAATACCAGCTTTCACTATATGAATCATTTGTTTCAAACATGCCTGGTTTATATACGACCCAAACAGACCACATCACACCATAAAATAGGAAATAACATTTGTATAAGATCAAGTAAAAGAGTGGCCGTGATTGTGGGAGTCAATAATTAATAAACTTAATATGATTTAAGAATAGTAAATCATATCATCATAGTCCATAGGTCAAAATAAAGCTTATAATAAGAGGAATATATGTATATATATAATCTAGTTACTGAACAGTTATACAATAAGATTATGTATATAATATTAGTCTATTAATAGTTCTCAGAAGTTACCCGTTATTTAATCTTCACTAGGATATAACTTATACGTTGAAAGGCAATTTTTGGTGTCATTTTCTGGGTGAAAGCTAAAAGATATAGATTTCTTTTTCAAATAGTTCGTTAATTGTTGTAAGTTGATGATGGAAGCACCTTGGGAATTTATGCCTGACTAGCCTTAAAGTCTTTAACTTTGTTCGATCATGTCCACTTACAATGACTGAATATTGATCATAGACAACATGGAGCCTGTAACATATATGCATCGTTTTAAGTCTCCATATCAAATCATTATAGTAAGACGAAATTATTAGCTTAGTTGATGTAGTAACAGTGTCAGTCACAATAGAAAGAACTATCCATAGACAATTTGATCCAAGAAAGAAAGTGGGTAATGTAGATTTAAACTTCAGGTCTATGGGAAAACTAATAGTGGATGCATTCGCATTATTATTATTATTATTATTATTATTATTATTATTATTATTATTATTATTATTATTATTATTATTATTATTATTATGAATAATTCCGAGACATGTAAACCAATGTTCCGAACCATTGATTGTAATATTCTATATATATCTGTGCATGCGTTGCATGTATGTATTTAAAGATGTCCCATGTTGTCACCATTTTGAAAGTGTTTATCGGTGACAGATTTTTATTAATATCATAGCTGACGTCTTGATATCAACAAGTTTTCGAAATGCTTAATAACTGAAACATTCTTAATTCATCTATTTTTTGACAATGAGTAGTTACGAATTGAAGATAAAGATGTAAGGGAAACTTTATGAATATAAACATATAATTCGAAGTTGGACAAAATTAGTCAGTTACTTGTCACACAGTAAAAAAACACATTAATAATACTGATGTTAAAGTGCACCTTTTGGCCGTTTACGTGCCAAGTTAATTTAGAAAGCAAAAATAATGAATATACAAATATCACTTAGCAGTGACGGATTTTACTTCTCTCTATTAATTGTCATCTTCAGTAAAACATATACAACTACTGATTAATATTAATCAGAGTATTATTAAAAGATGACATGATAATTGTAAAATACCTTCGAATTCCTTTTACACTGTAAACACTACTGTTGCAAACTGTTTTTCTCTTTTACAAAGTGACCATAATCGTGTGTATTGCTTTCCCTGATCGATAGGATTTCTTTCAAAACCAAACAGTAATTAGAGTAAACTATAAGTTTATTGCTTGTTTCAGTGGAAGATGAGATTTTTTTATTGATAAATGATCAACTGTGATCAAAGTAGAACCTGACACGGATATGATATGGGTCAATTTATCATACTACATCAACACGGCGAGATAACTATGTACAGCTTAAGCAATAGACATAATGTAGTGGAAATGATAATAAAACCAGACTAGGTGTTGAGAATAAAGTCAGAGTAAAATGTTATATATGAAAAAGTTGAAATACAAGATCGAGAGAAAGAAGGAATGAATTCATACGCGTCTCCAAATACTTATCGTGGTTAACTCGCGGACCCCAACGAAATAGTCTGCATCTACTAACATGGCTCGGGTCAACAGTCAGTGACCTGCTAAACCAATACCATGTCTTTGTTTGGCTAACTCTAGTTCTCTTTTTTAAAAAAATCCTACACCAGCACTCTGTTTAAGCTCTAAATCATCTCATTGCAAAGACCTATATTAGGTAAATTTCCTAGACAAAAAGTTTGTCAAACACTTTTCCGTTCTATTCAAATGTTCTACTCATTATGGCAATAAGTAGCTTATCTGATTCAATAAAATTATGAAGTATCAAGTTGGATTCATTTTAAATTCACAAGACAATCTATTTATTTCGTTTTAACCAGGAAAATACGTGGACAATTGATATATCATAAAGTTGAATTTAACCATCAATAATTATTTGAAATATGAGAGAAGTAAATCATACATTTCCGAAAGGTCTTTCTCTACTACTTATGACAATTAATTTGTGGTTAATTATAACAAAAGTTCAGTACATAAAATAACCGTATATTGATCTTACAACCACTTTTCCATGAACTCAAGAACTAAATGGTATTTGTAGGTGACAACGCAAAAAATTTTGCTTCTAAAACAGTGAGTAAACTTGTAAGATTGGATGATAGCTGACAGTGGGATTCTGTGCTTACGTCTCGTTTTGTTTGGCAATTGTCAGCTGAATGCATCTGCATTCTAACTATATGATACAATCCACAACAAGTGGGTATTCTGTTTTTCTGTCAGCAGATACCATCATTTCTTTTTCTTTAAATAATATTCTACTTGCACCCAATTCATTCAATTTCTGGACCCGAAGTTCCTGGGTCCGATCCCCTGTCAGGTCTTGAATGAGCACTGCCACTAAAATGTCCTTTTTGGGACGAAACAGTCATCCAGTGGTTCCTGCTTTTCATTAGACGTTTTACTAAAACTAATCCATAATATCGTTTACAAAATTTAATCAACTCAAATCTGCAGTCTTTTGATTTCGTTGATTCAACAACCAAATTTTAGGTATTATAGAAAATAATGTTATCATTAGACGTTGTTTTGGAGGTGTTCTCCCCATAGAAATAATTTGATTCTACCGTATCTGTCTTATGCAGTGATATGATAGTTTGATTAGCTCCCACACAAATACAATGGCTTAAATATGATTACATAAACCCGTACTTAATGAATAAATTACGTAATAATAATATCAGAAATTAGAAAGACGTCGACATCCGTATTTCAGGTGAACTTTGAAAGAACTTTCAAGATGAACCTATAACTGAAGATTAATATATAGCTGTGAATGTTACGAGCAAACGGATAATGGTGTAATTGTATCTACACTGCGTTTTGTTTCATAGTTAGTCTAGAAAGTACATTGCTTTCATCAACAATCGATAAATCATATTTTCATCATTTATGATGAAAATAATAGACTAAGTGATATCATACTAAAGTTCATTTTCGGTTGTAAGCCAATTAGTTTCACTGTGGTGTGTGCTACTTATATCGGCATAAGAAGTATATGACGTTAATCGTGAACAGAATGTAATTTGTATGAAAATGCAAGAACAATGAAGTCTGAGTCATTTTGAGACAATCGATGGACAGTTTGCAAATTAAGCATTTACTATATGATTGTTAGATTTTATTAACAAGTCCTGTGATTTTGTGTTAAATACATTCGATTGTCCCCACTAGTGTTCTTTTTTACTACATCACAACTACATCATATATAATCTCGAAGTTTCACTTCCAACGAATTTTATAGAAGGGAATGATGACTAACTACATTTACTGGTACAAATAAAGTCAATTTGAAGCAGAAAATATATTTTTTTCCAAGGTTGGGTGTTATTAAGTAGTAAGATGAACTTGACTTTTTATTCCTCCTTGAAGGTCAGATGAATATACACCAATAATACATTTATTTATTTATTTGAATACATAAATATTGGTACAAGAGGGCACCAAATATATATGCGCCGCAGCCAATAATACAATCAACAATAAACTTGATAGACTCAAACAAATATTTAGTATTTGTGTTTATCCTAACATATTCATATTCAAATAACCAGGCTAAACGGTTCACTGCACAGTTAATGAATTCTTTGTAGATATGCGTAGAAAAGCTGAATAGATCACGTTTTTCTTTGAGGGCTATATGGCAGGTAAAACTTGCGTGTAAGGATTGCACTGAACATAACACTTAATAGTGAAGTTCAGTAGAGGTCCGAAAATATAAGCTTCAATCTATCTAGGATTAATCTATTCTGTCGAGCTTAAGATTTCCTCTAGTTCGTGCACGATTCGTGAACATTTCAGGTACAAATTGCCGCTTCGTGTTACTTCGATTTGCTTTTGTTAGTGTAGTTGATTTTGGGGGTTAATGTATACCAGACTCACGAAGAGCGCTTCTTCAAAGTGTCTATGTATACATTACTCTGTTTGGTTGTCAAACAAAGAATAGAAATTAATGAAAAGCATACTTCTCGTCACAGCTGCACTAAGATTATAACTTGAAATTACTTACAAATAATTCGTTTCAAATGAAGTATGGGTCAGGAACTTATTGACAGTAATAGTTTGAACATTCACTAATTGAAGTTTGCACGCGTCATCTTACTATAAACTAACGTAGACCTGGTGATTAGCTGTAATCGGTAAAGTTAAACCACATCCAGTGCTAGGCAGTTACGCACTGGGTAATAGTCACGTGGTATCGTTTATTGATTGGAGTAAGCCACTGAATACCTAGACATCGATATTTCGACAAATCCTGTTACATTGATCCGCTGTGTAATAGAAGGTGCAGTAGGGTTACTACTCGCTTCTACTCTGAGCCATATCTGACAACATCTTAAGCCACTAAGTTGCACGACCATTACTACCTGAAAATCACAGTGCTACACTGTTATCTTTCTCAATGATTTTCCAGGTATAGTTAGTCCTTGCTATAAATTACAGTTAGTATTTCAATCTACGAGTTTCGATAGTCATTCAGCAGTTTATTATTAATTGAATGTGTTATAGTTCATAACAATTGGTGTTGTGAACTAAGCTTTCATCTATATTTATTTGAATTCAAGGAGTAGATATGGATGTACTGTACAAAATAATTTAAAAGCGAATTTGTTTACACAGTAATAATATTCATTATTTCCTGAAATCAGTATTCTTTAAAAAATCAAGTATGAATGACATTCATTAATATACTAATTAGCTACTGAAAATGTTCCACTCAATCTTTACGCACTACTTATGAAAAACCAAATACAGAAACAGATTACTTATATTAGTCGTTGTATTAATACAGATATATTTTAAAAGTAAATTCACACTACTCAAATAGTTTTCAGTAGCTCATACAAAATAGACAAGAAAATGGGACAGTGTGTGATGTGCAATAAATTGTTGGCATTCTATGTATTAGCTATTTTAAACTAACAGTAGAAAAATTAGTAAGTAAATGATTAATTACAAATAAATTGATGGCTTATAATCACGCTTCATAAATATAAATGAGACGGATTAAAATTCAAACATATGGTCTCCATAGTCTTTCAAAACTTGTCGTTTCTTTTGAACTTAGTCTTTCATTACCAAAGGTGAAAACTGAACTATTATTATTATTACTACTGTTCTTTTCATGATTAATAACACTACGAAATGATTGGTTACCAACATCGTAATTATTGTATGGGTACGATTTTGAATAATTTTCATCTTTGATTGGCAATAGTTTATAATTTAAATGACTATTTAATATATCTGGATAAATTTTCGAGTGTGTAGTCGGTTGAATCTGATGGTGACATGTTTGGTTGATTATTTTAGAATCTGAATAGTAGCAGTTGTTTTGACCAATGAAGCTATTAGCTTTATTCAATATGTTCAATGGTTGACGGACTGCATCTTGTTCAAATGTATAATCGTCATAATTACACGTCGGATAATAATGTAAATCTTTTGTTATTGGTGTATTCGTGTGGTTTTGCAGATTTCCAACACCAGTTATCAATTGATTTTCCTTATTCATATCATCTGTTGACGTAAATACAATTGGTTGATAACTTGTTGATTGGGAATAGTGAGATGACGGTAATGATTGATGTTGATGTTTATACGATGACTGATATGATATTGTTGGATAAACACTTTTAGTATTCTGTTCAATATGATTAGAAATGGGATAATTATTGATTTTCGATGGACCATTATCATTATTTTTCATAAAATAATAATTATTTGTTAATTGATGATTTGATTGTGGAATTGATGGTATTAAACGATGTTGATAATAATTATTATGATTATCAGGATAAACTATAGATGCTAATGATGATTCAATTCCTGAAGAATAATTTAAATTTTCCAATGAATAAGTTGATCTATAGTTGTTCTGATGTTGTTGTTGGGAATTAGACGGTGTTGTTCTAAAACGATTTTGATGTAGTTCTTTTTTAAGAAACGAAACAACCAGTTCTAAAATATCAGCTTTCTCTAATTTCCGATGATGACGTGGCTAAAACGTATAAACAGATAAGTGATGAGTTAATTATTAAACTGATATATATATGCACATATTTATATCATAGATTGGCCTTTGCAAACTGACATTACTTGTGGTGTAGAGACGTCCATCTACCAACCAGAAAGTGGATTTACTGTTCAGAAGTTCGTTATGTAGTAATCTGTGAGTATGCAATATTATGATCTACGAAATTAGAAGACGTGTATTAGCTGAGGAATTTTGATAATAAGTATCTTCGAAGCATTGATCGTGTATATTGAGAACATCGAGTAATCATAAGGCACTAGGTAAATGCGGTTGATGAGATAGGGAATCGTTATCTATTAAGGTGGACGAGACATGTGGTAAGTATGCTTAACCACCGCCTATTTGGACGGGAGATGTTTGTTATTTTGGGTGTAAATTGTAATAAAGCTAGAGGCGGTTAAACCCAAACGTGGCATCAGTACATGAAGGGACTAACTGTTGGTAGATGCGGAATATCTGATTGGGATGCATGAGCCAACGGCGATCAATGATTGAAAACGTTGCGATATATCTCAAATTCATTTTTTAGCTTTCCCTAGATCTTCGGTTTCAGTATTTCTTAATGCATTCATTTTTATTCCGCCTTTCCGTAAGATACTCTTAATGTTTTATACTTTCTATTATCATTATAACTAAATTATTCAGATCTGTTTGGCTATTAATCTTGAAAATTTCATCCCATCGCTTTATTTTGGAATGGAATCCTAGGACAATAGGTGTAAGTAACTAAGTAAATATCACAGTCACAAACAGATATTACCAATAGGGTATTCGGATCACACTTGACCTCATGTAGAACTGAAAGACTGAAACATTAATCAGCCACTGATGATATAATAAAAACAAAAATAAATTATTCAATTCCGAGGAGAAACGATAAAGATAGTCAGAAATCACATTGAATTACGTAATTCTTTATCAACACCAGAAAACTACACATATATTCAATTTAGTGAGTACATTAACTTTTTCATGTGATCAAAAATTAAAACTTAAATGGATGCTTTCGATGATGTTTTTCATTCTTCAAGTCAGATGATGGATATGACGAGTTGAAAAGGTAAATCTATACTTGTAACTATGACTTTTGGTTCAACATTACTTAAGTTTTTAATTCAATTGATTGATTACTCTGTGTAATATTTGTGTTAATATCAGTGTGCTATTTTACTCATCAATAACACCAATTTATTTGAGTTTGATGTTTATTGAAGATACAATAATCTTTATATTAAATTAATGTGAATTATGTTCATCATGTAATGTAACATGAAATTTTGTTGTGATTTCATATATATGACTTTTCCCTAATTAATAGTCAGGTGGAGTGAATATCAACTCCGAAATACATGTACATTCAGCTGATAAGTCCCAAATAAGACGAAACATGAGTTCTGCATTCCACTATTAGCTACTATTCATCCTTGTTTATAATGTTAGTGATTTAAGGCAATATCGAGGTAATCCTCACAGAATGCACATATACCAATAAGAGACTAATCAATTGCAGTTCTAAACATCAATGGGAAGATTTAAACTAACGATACAAAATGAATTATGAGTATATTTTCGACTAGGGTCGTCGTTGTGTTTTCGGGGTGAATAAATCTTCACTTGTGCATGTTTTTCGTGTTCTTAATTCACGTCATTGGAATTGTAGTGGTTCCTCGTTTTTCAAGTACGCGGGTGTAACAATGGCTTAATCGTAGAGTTTTCACTAAGACTCTGGATAACATTATCAACCTCTGTTTCATGTAGAATTAGATACTGATAATATTCTACAGAATGGCAATTAGACCACTTAACCTGGAGAACAGAATAATAAATCAACAGTTTTTCCTGGTCAGTAACCAGAATTAAGAGATTTAATCAGTTTTTAACTTCACTCCTACACAATAAAAATAATATCAACCTATATTCTAACTTTAATTATTAACCTCTGATTTACATGTTGTAACATGTAACATCAAAATGTATACTTAGAACATTGTGTACTTTTATTAATCAAAAAAAAATATTTTGATTGACTTTTATTGTTGCTATGGTTTCAACGTAAACTATTAATTTTTGTTAGAATACTTAATATCATCAAAACAAAAGCTGTTCCGTTTTAGTAGTATGGTGTTTAATGATAAAAAAAATAAAATGATTAGGTTTAAATTGTTTGAGGTGACGATATGTTTCTATGTAGGATGGGGGAAGAAATGTTAGCGGTCATCTCTTTCAAGTTATTCAAATTTATTCTTGTTTTGTACTGGATCATTGATATATGTATTTTAAACTGTTGTTTAAAGTGAAAAAATACACAAAGATATTCATGATAGGAAGATTATTACAAACTAGATAGGACTTTACACCTTTTTTAGGACTCTTCTTGGCAGTGAGGATTTAAACCTTAAATGACTGTGACTTTGAAATAAATTTCTAAAAACTGAATGGCAAGTCGTAACCAGTGAAACTGATCATGTAGTCAATAAAATGATCATCACAAATGCCATTGGATAATGTCATAGTTTGTCATGAAGTACCTAAAGTTGGAGATACGAATGATTGGATGTAGATTTAGTCGTATAAATTTAGTGAGAACTTAAGGTTTTAAGAAGAATCACTAGAAGAGTTCTAAATGTACACAACTGGAGAGTTCCCGTAATATTTTGGAACATTTGTCAAGTACTGTCTGATTTATACTGGTTTCATATGTCCTGAATTCAAATGGGTCGAGTTTATAATTAAACACTCAGTAAGCTAACTTGAATGAAGATTGTTATTAATTAACTTATCCTAATTATTCACATAATTTCATGGTATATTATAAAACTGAATTTTGTGCTTACCAGCTTGACTTGGTATTAACAACTACCTCACTATTGACATGGTTGAACTCCTCTGGTTAAAGCTTCTCACCAGAACTCTAGAAATTAGTGAGTACATAATTATTATTACTACACGGGGTTTGTGGAGATTGGTGAATTTCATTCGAAGTATAATGTCACAGTGATGAAAACAATGAAATTTATCAACCACCACAAACCCCCTTTTTTTAGTATTCATATCCTGCATGTATAATCTGTTTCAAAATCAATAAGTTTCCAACTTCTTTTGTAAACATCATTTTAATCAACGTTGTATCATTGGTATAATAATGTAAACCTGGATCGATATGCATATTCGTTTCAAATCGTACATTACTTTCTACTGACAACATTATCCATTTAATACATTTTTTTTTCAATAATGCAATGAGAAGACGAAGTTTGTTGGCTGAATTCTAATAACCACCATTCATTTGTCAATTTATGTGAAAATAGGTTTTTAAGTCAACAACTACTTTACAAGTTACTTCTGTTTGTATACCAATTAATAATGATATAATCTTTTTTCGTAAACTTTTTTAATATTCAAATTATTATCAGAAAGGGGTTTTGTGGTTATTATAGTAATTTAATAGTCGAGTTCATAAGGAGTCTCACACTAAGACGAAACAGCCATTCAGTACTTCCAGCTTTTCCATGGTGGTCTAGCTTCAATTGACTCATGAACTCAGTTATTATATTATTTATTATTTAGTTCTATTGATTGTTTAAATTAGTACAGTGCAATTTCATGAAATTTCCATTCACTCTCGTATAATGGATTATCTTTTTGTCATGATTCAAATAATTATAAAGCGGATAACTGTTTCAATACTCTTAAAAGTATTATATTGTCAAATAGATAATTTAATAGTTAAGTTCATGAATCAATTGAAGCTAGATAACCATGGGAAATCTGGAAGCACTGGGCGGCCGTTAGGTTCTATAGTGGGACTCCTCCTTGGCAGTACATATCCACCACCTCACCTCGCTAGTTCAAACTCAGAACCTATCAGTCTCACCCGTGAAAGCTTAACCTCTAGACCACTGAGCCGGCATCCAACGATGTTAATGTCTAACTTCAAGTAATCCTGGAAATTGCCCTACCTTCCACCATTGTCTTCAATGAGTTACTATGTCACAACAGATCTAGTTGAACTCTACTAGTCACGATTTCTCATTAGAACTTCAGGAAATACCTCTTCAAGACAGTCACTAGTGTGCATTTAATGATGATTATAGTCAGACAGGGGTATTGTGGATATTATAGTAATTTAATAGTTGAATTCATGAGTCAATTATTAAGAGAGAATAAATAAAGGAGAAAAAATAAACTAGGTATCAATTATTTTCCATTATTTATATATAAAAACACTTAATGGTCATTAATCAATGATCTATTTGAAGAGTATATATATATATATATATATATATATATATATATATATAATATAAGCAGAGGGGGGATTTAGGCAGTGCGTATGCGTTAGATAATTATTGATCCATTTAAAAATACAACACCTCTGTATGTGTATGAAATATTTAATTATTTTACTAAAGAAAATATAAATATGTATATAAAGAAAGAGAGGTGAGGGGTGGAGAGAATTAAGCAGTGCGTATGTGTTTAAGAATTATTGATCCATGTATATATTACAGGTGTTGTATTTTTAAATGTTTACATGGATCAATAATTATCGTATTTTATGGCTTAGATATAATAATGACTAGTAAAAAACTGTTTTTGATACATGTACACTTGAAAATAAACAGAATAATTAAATTAAAATTGTCACATACAGAAAAAAAAGGTAAACAAAATTGATAAATGTTAATTACTAAGCGCAAAAATACAATAAATCATAAGTATTTCTTATATTTATCTTTTCTTTTATATGAATCACAATGAAAACAAGTAGATCCTCTTTTTTTTTTTAAAAAACAAAGAAGAAAAAGAAACAACATTTTTCTAAGTAAACTATCTGTTGATAAGTAAATATTAAGTTTAATGTGATAGATACTGTTTTCTTTCCTCTATTTGTCTTTCTCTTTTTTTGTTGTTTTTTTGTGTGGAAAAAAAACATAACTAACTATACACGTGCAATATGTCCATTTATTCTGTTCTGTTTTCTTTTTAAAAAGTATTTGTGCATTTCTAATTTAACGTCTTTTGTCAGTGTTGCTTTCTTTTAATACTTAAACTATTAATAATATGATATGATGAATGAGTATTTCATTATCGTTTTTTTTTTCTTTTAATATTTCATTGTAGTAACTCCGCCTGGACCTCCTCTGAGGGCTACTACCGGTCCCAAGTTCGGATAAAGGAGGAGGGTTTGGCATGAGGTTAGCAACCCCACCCCATAGTAAAGTAACTCGCCAAAAAAACGCTAATCAGAAAAAACGTATACTGGTCGGCGGTCTGTGCTCGATTGGGAGTAACAAGCGTAAGTAAAGTAAAAGTGAGTTTCATTGCAGTTGCTCTGATGTAGGAAACACTCACTATGCGAAAATTTATCAATGTAACCCTATTTATGTATGATACCAAAGATATAAATATATCTTGTCACTATTCATATAAAGGAATGTAGATCATTGGATAAATTTAACATTGAATAAATATATTCAATGATGTGTAGAAATAAGTAGTTTTTAAATTTTCCTCTAAAAGAATTTATATATTCATTTTGTATACTATAACTATAATATCTTTATAATAATTCATGGTGTAAACTGAATTTAACTTTTAAAAAAAAACTTTGGAATGTTGTACATCTGTTCCAGGTTAATTTATTAATGAATATTTATAGTTCATGGTATAAATTTTGAAGGTGTTATGTCTTCTGGAGTGTATGGTTTAACCAGGAAGCTCTCAAAGTCATTTAAGATAATGTCAATAATACATACTTGGATATTTATTTAATTTTAATACATAAACAATGGTACGAAGAAGCATTCAAACATATATTACTTTTACTTACTTACGCCTGTTACTCCTCGTGGAGGAGCATAGGCTGCTCACCAGCATTCTCCACCCAAGTAAGTAAATCTGAAATGATCCAAACCTATATGCACCACACAAATTATTCGATGTGTATAAGGGCTGAAATACTGCCCGGACAGCCAAATTGAAAAAGGTAGTTTCCTAAGGAAGCCTCTACCCAAGCCTTTCATCTAATGGTCTAATCCAAAAGGTAGTGGAGCAATGTTAGTAGATTCGTCCTCATGGTAACTAGAGACGAACAGTAGGTTCACATGCCATTTGTTCTCTCAGGATCCTGAAGCGCATATACACTAGTGGTTTGGAAGTAGGGCTTATCAACTCCCCTAAGTGGATCCTCCGTACCCACAAGCCCGGTTTAAGCACCGGACATTTTCCTTTCGTTTTCTCATTTTCGTAAGCATTACCCTACTCAAGATCAAGTTAAATATAATCAAATTACAAGATGAGTGTGTTGACTTCATTGATCCACAATTTTAATTTCAATCGACTTTCTAAAGTAAAAATCACTCAATACCATAGGGAATTATTTTATCTGGTTAAATTCCATTTAGACGGATTAGTGAAAAAATGCTTAGTTACCCAGTGAGCATCTAACTATTATACTGAGAATTTCCATTATTGATTAAACACTTTTATTCCACATTAAGTTAGGAAAAACGCCATTTAATTTAACGATTCAAGCTTGAGGAAGACAATAAAGTCAGTGGTAGTTTGAATTCATTTTAAGGAATCTAATTTGAAGAATATTTAAAAAGTAGCTTGGATAAATATAGATTATTTAATCGTAGACAACATGGGACTTATTAAGTATACGTGTCAACTGAATGAGCCAAATCTTTGACTAGAATAGCATGGAATGAGAATCAGTGGGGGATTTAATATAAACTCTGATGACAAGCTGAACACGAGAAATAAAGTACATGAAAAGGAACAAACAAAAATGAAGTTTCAGAACACTAAACTCAAAAGTTCGAGGAACATAGTGAATGACTGTTACTATAAAACTGAGACTGAATTTTTGATCGGATCACCCAATGTCTTCAGCTATAAATCACGACTGTCGAGTTGAACCAAGCCTATAATTCTGTAATTACCGGCAGTGTTCAAACCGTCGGTTAATAGTATCAATTGATCTACTGTTCTTGCGAATTTATTTAATCCCTTACTGTAACAAATAACGTTCAAGTTTAGGATGGGTGTTGGTCTAGAATTCACAGCACATTCACTCGCCACCTCTGTTGATGAATTTTAATGACATAGTAACTTATGCCGATCTTGTGTATTTCTGTGAGTCAGGTTCTAGTTCCATTCCAGTTATCGAGTGTTTTAGCTAACTGTTATGCCAAATATTATCTTTGATCAAGAAAACATGATTATTCAAATAACTTTCTTCAGAGTTGGAAATTATCTTTAAATTAATTAAATCAAACGCTTTCGCATAAATTAAGAGTTAAGTATGAAGACGATTATTTAAATTTCAATATCTGATATCATTAAAAGTGAACATATTATAGCTAATAACTAGTTGATTTAATAAAGATAAATTAAAAATAGTAGTACTACTGCTACTAACAGAAATAAGTAATAGATCAGAACTTACATTTTTATGCAATAATTTCAAAATAAGTGTCCTCAAATTATCTAATAACGCGTTGATACGATCACGTCGTTTTCGTTCTGTCATTTGTTTAGCCATTCGACGATCATGTTTTGTTGTAGCCAAACATTTTCTATTCGTTTCACTATATGAAGTCAATTGACTACTGGACAGTGGCAATTGTTTCTGTGGTGAAAATGATGACATGGGTGGTGGTGGTGGTGATGATGATGTTATCGCCATTGTTGTAGTTGACAAAGATAATGAACATAAAGATCCTGATGTGGTTACTACTGTTTGTGTATTTTTTAGCAATTCTCTTCGTCGTTCTGTCTCGAATATCAGTTCATTTTTTAATTCTTCTACTTCTTCATAGCTAATTTCTTGCTCTTCATTTGAATCAATTAATGAAAATGATATTTCATTCAGATCTGATTCTGATGTATTTGAACTATAATTTATATGTGACATGATTTTGGGCATAAAAAGTTAATGAATTAATGGTAAATTATTTTCAAATGTTCTGTTGAGCATAATTTTAAAGTGTATAAAAATATGATTATTTTATGGGGAAGATTTTGATTGGTTCATATTTCCCATTTCATGATTGGTCGATATTTGTAAATAGACTATATACAATTTTTTAATCACTGGTTGCCCTACTTCTATTGTGTCATTTGATGCTGTTTAGAACGACTCAAAATTATCTAGTCTTCCTGTGCAATGGACAGTTCAAAAGCTAATTTTGATAATAATAATGATAAGAAGAAGAATGTTTTACATTCATTTGGTGTTGTTTTACTTGTATCTTCCCATTGTTACTTAGGACTGTAATTGATCAGTTTCATGTTGGCACATGTGCATCCTGTGCGAATCACCTCGATATATCCTTGAGTCACAATCTTTTTGAGAAAAAATGGATAGTGGGTAGCAGTGGAATCCAGGACGTGCGTTTTGTCCCATTTGGGGCTCACTGGCTGTAAGCGAACGGTAGTGGGTTCGAATCTCGGATTGAACATCAACTCTGGGATGCAGGTGCATCCAGCTGACCAGTCCCATATAGGACGAAACGCGCGTCCTGGATTCCACTGCTGGCCATTTTCCATCTTTGCTTAATAAGGTTTTACAGTTAAATCTATTCTGAATTATCGCGAACGGAAGTTCTAAATATTGCTTATTAGAATCCAGCCTTGTGTTTTGAAATTCAGGTGTACATAGTGAGATCTGAACATTTCTGAGTTTGGTTTGAAGAGTTAGTTGAAGAGTTTCACACTAAGATCAAGCAGTTGTCTCAATCTCTCCGGTATTAAATCGTTCTTGAGATGATATCAATTAGTGACGAAAATTGTCTCAAAATGAGAAAATATCTAAGGTGTTTTATGCAAAAGCCTCATGATATGCTAGTATAAGAGAAGTTTGAAAGAAGAGTATGAGTGACCCACCCTCACATTGATATCAGCTCAATTAATATAGATGATGAATGTACCTAAAAGTTTGAGATTACTTAGTTTGACCTCATATATGAACTATAGTGTGTACTTTTAGTAACTGGGATATCTTGGTTACTAATTGTTTTTTTCAGGTATATATCTTTAAATGTTATCACCAACCTTATATTATCATTATTATTGTATGTGTACTGGTCACTTAAGGTCATAGTACTTTAACTATACACATTAACTTAATGATAATTAATGTATTTAATCACGCATACATACTTGTGTATTTTCAATGATTTATTGTTTAAAATTGACTTTTTAATTTTGGTGGGAAATAGATTGGCATAAGTTTGAATCAGTATGTTGGATGCGTTTGTGTGTAACTTTGTATATGAGAAAATGAACCAGTCCAAGCCTAACAAATGTAGGATAAGTTGACCTTAATTTCAGTGACATTGAACAATATTGATCACAAAATGAATTATTACAGATGGTAACAGTAAAAGATAGTGATAACTTGTTTCATTCATCCTTTCGATAGAACATGTATGTTATTGACAATTTATAGTTTACATCACGGACTGACATTAGTTAGTCAACTATTGAGAAACAGGAGACAATGAGCGTTTATTTCGCTTTAGTATGACTCCTTACATCTGTACGCATCTACTACTCTGCTGAGGATTGAACTCAGTGATGAATTATTGGTATAAAGGTTAGGGTTTCACTAGGAGACTTGAAGATATCGGGCTCAATCTCTAGCCGGGTTGCGGAAATGTATTCCTGAGAAGTACCAGATTATAACGAAAGGGCTTCCAGTCTTACCTAACTTTTAATCGTTCTTTAGTTAATGTCAGTCTGTGATGTAGACTATGAAAATTCAACAATTTCCGTTAACCCTTATACTGATGTTTTACAGATTTATTAATAATTCCTGACTGAATGAAATTAGAACCTCGCAAAAAATAAACCAAATTATTCGTTTCTTAGATTCGAATACAAGTTGTGAGGTGTGTTTAAATCAACTGAAAAATTTCTTATTGAGATTGAAAATGACATATCTTAACTTCACCTGGAGGAAAAAGAACATTGCTAAGGAAATGGCAACCAGAAAATATCGTTTGAACCGTTTAAACTCTGCCCTGAGAGTTGAAGAGTCTCTATTTGAAAGAGTCGTATCGCTTCATGATGAAAGCCGAGATTTTTCGGAAGTCATGAAGGCGATTACCCTTCTGATAGTCTGAGCAATAACTGAAGCAGGTACATAGAGTGTTCGCACAATGTTGAAGATAGGTAAAACCATTCGAATGGCTGCAGAAATGAGAATATACAGCCTGACGTTGCTTGAAATTAGTGAAATCCGCCGGACAAAACAGACTAGCTTCAGCAGGCGTGCGGATGTATTACGGCCATGAAAATTCCTTGCATGCACAAGGAGTTGCATTGGTGCTCTCCAAAGAATCATGAAAAGCACTTCTAGGATAGGAATCTCATGGCTCCAGAATCACCATGGTATCATTTAGAACAAAATAGGAACAGATTGCAATGAATGTCACCCAGTGCCTAAGTTTATCATAGAGAAATGTCTAAGAAAAGACCTTACCATTGAGATTAGATGGTGGTTGGAGGTAGTCAACAGGAAACCCTGGACCCGGGTTTCGTGCTACTTGGCACTCGTCAGCAAGGTGTACCTGTAATCTTGAGGGAATTGGTGCTCCCTGGCGGATTCGATCTCGTGTCACCCAGCTTCACAGTCAGAGACGTTACCACTGAGCTATCCGAGCCGCGACTGACCTCTTGTAGGACTGAGATGTAATCACAATTGATTGATCACTGGGTGGTGATCAATCTCATGCTTGTCTAGTCCTTATTAGTGCAGATCGAATGCTATCGATCATGTTGCAATGTGGCCACCAGTCTAGGTGACTCGACACTGCGGGCACCATCTAATCTCAATACATAGTGCCCGCAGTGTCGAGTCACCTAGACTGGTGGCCACATTGCAACATGATCGATAGCATTCGATCTGCACTAATAAGGACTAGACAAGCATGAGATTGATCACCACCCAGTGATCAATCAATTGTGAAAAGACCTTACCATCCTGATGATGGACCTGACCGCCAAATTCAGGATAAACAACACTTAGTCTGGAGGTTTGGCGTTTGCACCTGAGACTGATAGTCCTAGGTTTGACTCCCATGTGCATAGTTACGGATACACGCTGCTGAGGAGTCCTTTACTAGTACGAGCTAGAAAACCTCGTGATTCATGAAAATGCCAATAGGAATTTATACTTATTTAAACAGGACAATGAGAATATGACTCAATACTTTCTAAAATCCTCTTGAAATTTTCTAAAGAAATCTGATTTTTCTAAGTATTTTCTGCGTATTTTTTGAACTTTTTCAAGAAATTATCGACGGTTCTCCACATAATGTTGATTTGTGGGCATACTTTTTTGTCTAATTTTGAGTGTTCTTGGAGGTGTTTACTATGTTGAACCCAAAATACTAACAATTCAAGTTGATTCGCCATGTAACACGATTATCATCTCATTTATCCTTCAATAATCACTACCCGATTAATATTTTCAATGGCTTTCTCTGTTATGTCATAGTTACCAGTTCGGAGTAAACATTAAATAAATGAGTAAGTAATAAATATTTTTTCTCATATTCGTTTCCAAAAAACACCTACTCCTCATTCAACCACTCCAAGATAAACCTTATGATCACAACTATAACAAAAACCTGTATGTGTGCAAGTACGCTTGCTTGCGAGCGTTACTTTGTATGTCTGCATTTAATACAAATACCGACACACATCACCCACAGTCAACTTCTAAAGATAAGTCACATACACAGAAAACAATGATTCACTGATATGTTTAAGCAGAATATCACGTACTGGACAAAATTCTCTTAAAAATATATATTCTTAGTATATTTCAAAAAATATTAATGTTGCCTAGCCGTTATGTTGTTATCATAATCAAATTGAATAACTGTTAATGGTAGATTTCATTGCAAATTAAACATAAATTGAAAAGTTACTACAGTGATAAGTTCTTTGAAGTATTTGAAATTTTTCTAAATAGGAGATAAATTTACACAGCTTTTTAAAATGAAAGTCTATGACAAAAAATAATTAAGTATGAATTTAGAATACTAAAGTTTTGCTGTATGGGTTTATGGAGATGGTTGAATTTTTATAGTTTGCATTAAAGGAATGGTCTTAGTTATAGGATCATTAAAAATCAGAAAGGACTGGTCAATTGTTTAGTCCTTGCGTGGCACATCATAGTGGCAGTGCTTATACACTACCCCACTGAGGATCGAATTCAGGTCTCTCGGTGGACCCCATAACCTTTAGACCGTTGAGCCAGCACCCAATGATGTGCATCCCTACCTTCAACCAATTCTCGACAACTACCTGATATGCTTCTAGTTTATCTATTCAATGCTTCCTCGTTTCCAGCAGTTATCTAATTAAAATTATCACAGCTGGAATCGCGAGTCGATCTAAGCTAGACTACCATCGGAAACCTGGAGGCACTAGACAGACGTTTCGTCCTAGTATGGGTGTCCTCAGCAGTACACATTCACGGGCTGCACGCGGATCTCGAACCTCAGGTAATGGATGAAGAGTCGCGCAAGATCATGGATCGATCGAAGTGAGGCATTAACACCGTTGGATGCCGACTCATTAGTCTAGAGGTCAAGCGTTCGCACGCCAGACCAAATGTCGTGTATTAGAGTCCCGCGTGCTTGGTGGTGGATGTGTACTGCTGAGGAGTTCAAC